TGCCCGTGACTGTAAACTTTAGTCAAAACTCATCAAACCGTACAAAGTGGAACTAAAGGAATTTTTCAGGTAGCATTTATAATGCTGTGGGTGGAACTTGAAAGCACTGGGAAAAAGATTTTATCTGTTTATAAATTTCCGAAGGGATTGTGTTGCAGCCCGCTCTGGTCCAGCCTCCGCCTCTCCGCTGTGCCCCTGGCCCTGTTTCTGTGTGTGCCCTGAGGTTGCTGTTTGCTCCCAGCTCTGCTCCGTGACTCTGAGGTGTTTTTCTTTCCTCGTGTTGTGACATTGATACTTTTGTGAGCTCCTGTCCAGCGGGCATTCTGGATCTTGCAAGGCGTTTTAAAAGTTCCTCTTTCTTTCAGCGTTTGCAGTTACATTTCCTGGTAGACCTCACTTCTCAGCTGCACTGAACTAAGAGCATTCCCACTCTCCCCAGGGACACTGCCTTCACCTCCCGCTCCCACCGAGTGGGCTGGTGGTCTTCGCCTCCCCCTGCGCGTGTTCCCCAGGGGGGTTTAAGATGATTCTGGTACCCACGCTTTCGTCAGTTCCTGACTCATGTGCGGTGGTGGGGTCCGGGCATCAATATTTTTAAAAGCACCCCCTGTGTTTAGAATGTGCGGCCAGTGTTGTGGCATTTCTGATGGCTGTACCCCCCATTCAGTTATTTTAAATTATTTCAACAGAAATGGTACAGTGCTCTTATAAAAGGCTGGTTCTCTTTTGTCTTAAAGACCAGGGAGAATAACAGAGAAGGGAAGCGGACACTGTCCCCACTTGTCCAGCAGCTGACTGGGGTGACGGTGGGCTGCTGTCTTCCTGTGCCTGCCGCTGGCTGTTTCTCAGCTGTGACACAGCACATGGCAGCCACACGATCAAGTGTCCCCGGGACTCGTCATCCTCTGAAAGCAAGCCTCATAGAAATCAGGAAGAGATAGGAGAGTGGTCAGCTGCAAAGTGACCAGCAGGCCCTAGGAGTCAGTTTTGTGAAAGTGCTGGTGAAGAGACATGATACCGTGGTCCTGGGATGGTGGAGTTTATCTTCGGTTTGAATGGAATTGCATTCATGATTTACTTAACTAACATGCGTATAGGACGTGACACCTGCCAGGCTCAGTCCCAGGCAGTTTCCCTGTATATATTAGTTCTGGTTCCACAGCCGTCCTTTGGTGGATACTATCTGCATTTTGGTGATGAGAAACCGAGGCACAGAGAGTTAAGTGACTTGCCCAAGGTCACACGGTGGGGATTGAATACCGGTCATCCATCTCTAGAGTGGGGCTCTTTATGGGTTGTTAGACCACAGGCTACCTGGTACCTGGAGACGTCCTGGCTCTGGGCTTCACCATTTCTGCTTTCTGAGGGCCACTTCCTGTGCCTCAGTTTCTTCGGTATTGGTTAATGTGTGGATAACAGATTATGTGATTTAACAGCAACTTTTACTTACTCTCTCTGCAGGGTAGCAAATGGGACTCTTCAGGACCTACTTCCTTTAGTTACAATGATTTCTCTTTGGGTTTTATTATTACTTACTTCTTTCATTTTTAAAAGGAAAATCAGACATTTTTATCTGGGAAGGATAACTATTTTAGGCATAGGCAGGAACTTAATTGCCTTTTTGTCATCAGTGATCTAGGTAACAGACTTGGAAAAAATCCTCCTGGGATAACTGGAATGCCACTTTATTTTCCTTTGATCACTCTCTTGTGAAATCCAGCGGGTGGGAGCTGATAACATTTTTAGCTGTTGGATCGCCGTATTTGCAATTAGTGCCTGAAAGAAAAGTCCCAGCTCAGTGGTAATGACGGGGAAGCATTTCTCTGTTTCTTTTTAACTGGCACTTGTTATTGCCACTTGTAGAGATGTGTTGGTCATCTCTCCCACGGGCGTCCATGAAGAGGTGGGAGAAGCCTGTTGGATTTCTGCCTGTTGGCGTGAGTGTAATTTGACATGAAACCTATAATTAGATGATCAGGCTTAGGGCTGGCCGGCTCTGGCTGTGCTGAAGCAGAGGAATTCTGTTTTGCGGGTGATGAATTCCAGAGTACATGCTGCTTGTCAGCAGGTTGGCCCTTCCTGGCACCTGGGGCGGTGAGCCTGGTGGTCACAAACTGACGCTTCACTTTACCCTCAGGACCCCTTCAAGGCAGGACACACACCTCCAACTCCAGCCAAACCTGTCCCCACCTCCGTCCCTCTACCTGGCCTCCACCATTAGATGGTTTGAGGAAGCACTGGGGCTTTTTGGGAGGCAGGGAACCCAGGCTTTGAGTCTGGCTCTCGGGGAGGGAGAGGACAGCTGTCAGGTGTAGCTACATGCTGGGCCCTTCTCCCAGGACCTGAGTGTCTTTCTCAGCGGGTGGCTCTCTCCAGGGCTGGCCACGGGCGCCACCAGCCTGCCCTCTAATGAGTGCGGCCTGGCCTGTGTCGGGATGTGGCTATTTCAGAATGACAGGAGTGGAACTTGTTTGTGTTTCTGGGTCATTTGGCTGAAAACAGTAGTTTATTGGTGAAGGACACTATGTTTCTACAAATCTATGTGTGTAGGTATCATGCCTTTAACCCATGTTCCAAAGGCCCAGGAACACAAACATTTCTTTTGCGTCAGGGATCCTCACACCTGAGTTGTATGAGCTCCTGATCTTTCTCTGAGTGCTATATTTAAATGCATGTAGTAAGATGCAAAGTTTTATCAGGAAACCAGGCTTCTGTTACAGAGGGCAGGTCTAATAGCGGCTGTGATTTTTAAGTGGTGATATACATAAACCCTTGATGGCATGGTGACAACTGTGATTGAAATCGAAAGCCTCTATTATTTCTATAGGTGACAAAGCCACAGGTATTGCTCCTTAATATCATTTCTGGTTTGTTGCCAATATGTATAAGAGAAGGAAATGCTCAGTCTCACTTAGAGGATGTTGAGAATCAAGATTACATTCTTTCCTCTTTCAAGGTCATGGACCTCTGGGTTCTGTTCCCACTGTAATCAACAGCTGGTCAGTGTGGCCTCAACTGAAACACTGCAGGCAGAGTCACAGAATTTCCTCAGAAACAGAGTCCGGTTCCAGGCAGGGAGAGATGCTCTCAAAGGTATCCCTGAGATAGCTAACTCTCCCAGGGACCGTGTGAGTGTAAGCAAGCGAGCTTGGGAGGGCTGGGAGGGCAGAAGGCCCCTCCTGAGCTCCTCCCGGGAGCGTGGATGTGTCCAGAAAGCTCGGGTCCAGGATGGTGTTTCCTCCTGCCATCGACGGGTATGGAATCGGATGGCAGAAGGAGGGCTGTTTAATCCTGGGGCCTGGGATGGCTTTGGGAGGAGGCCCCGTTTTAAGTTTATGAATTGCCTTTTGTGGAGTCGGTGAACCATCTCCTCACACAGTAAACAGGAGAAGGGAAATGAAGGGGACATGTGTCAAAACGTAAGGACACAAACACTGGTCAAACTTGGCCCCCAGAGACCAACCCCAATGAAAGGGGGCCCACTGGGCTTGCCACTTACCTGGGATCTGCACATTTAGCAGGTTTTCTAACGAGTTTTTTAGTTTTACATCTATTAATACATTTCATCTTCACAACTCTGCAGGCTACTATTATTATCTGTTCCATTTCACAGAAGAGAAGACTAAATCACAGGTGGTGAAGGAACTTGTCCAGGTTCACAGACCCAGGTTGTCTGGTTCCAGGACCCATGCATGCTCTCAATCATATTCTATACTTGCACCTGAAAACAATGCGTCTCCATGTGGCTGCTTCTTAAATCCTTAGCTGTAGGACTTTCAGTTAGCTGGATTTCAGGCCGATCTGAATGATGGTTGTTCTGTAGCTTAGTTGTAATTTTGATGTAGGTTTTCTAATGATTAAACATGGAGGAATAAAAGTATTCAAGAAGGGTGAAATTTCAGTCCTTTGTGGGGTTAACACATCAAGGTGATTCCTCCCTTTCCCTCCTCACTCCCTCTTCCCCTCAGTCTGCAGTTCAGAGTACAGGTGGGGAGTTGCGATGCTGAGATGCGGGGTGCAGGGTGTTAATGTTAATGAGGCTTCTGGTATGAATGAGGCTTCTACCATTTTGCAAATCAGACCAAATTGTTACAAAACAAACTTAGAGATCTTATGCAAGACAAAAAAGTGTGTGTGTGTGTGTGTTTTAAAGGGGGTGGGGAGAGTAATTTGTGGCTTCAGTTACTTAACACATTTATACTCAACACATTTGTTAGCACCAAATACATAGGGGTAAGTGAAACCACATGGTCCAGCCTTCCCTACTTGCAGAGACATGTATTAACTGCATAACCAAGGCGTGGACCTGCGATTGTGCTAAGTGTATGAGCCAGTGCTCAGAGGGAGTGTGAGGGGCAGGAGGTGGGGGGAGCTCGTGATGGGACTGATGAGACGTAAAAGTAGTTTGAAAGGGGGCCAGGGACCCCCTGGGAAGTAACAAGTGGGTTGACAGTGGGCCTGCACCAGGCAGCAGGCCAGGAGCCTGGGCATCTCGGCGGTGGAGCAGGACACTGGGCCAGGGGAGGTGTGTGCCTGTGTGAAGGCAGACTGGCTTGGTGCAGGTCAGCACAACTGCGCGCCGAGGTGGCACAGACTGTCCTCAAGCATCAAGACCCATGAAGAGAGCATTTTACTTAAACACCTTCTTTTAAAATGCAAAAGTAGGAACAAGCCACACAATGTTTAATTAGAATGAAAGCAGGGCATGGGGCGTCTGCTCCGTCTTGGAGGTTCACTACAGTGCATGACCAGGCTGTGTAGGAGTTGCTTGTGGTGGGGGAGCCTGCAGTCCCCAGGAGCAGGGCACTGCACTGAGACCCCGTGGGCCTGGGCTGCTCACTTCTTTCTGCACACCAGTGTCTCGTCAAGTCCAGCTCCAGCCACACCTGCGTTTGGGGTGACAATTCCGTGGTCCCTTCTGTGGGTTCCCGCGTGGTGTATTTGGGGGGTGCATCTGAGAGGAGAGATAACCTCATCTTTCTTTCCCTGTCCCCCTCCAGGGCGGGAGCAGTTCCACGGCCTTGGCTCCATGTACTGCCGGGGGGCCACCGCCATCATCCTCACCTACGATGTGAACCACCCGCAGACCCTGGTGGAGCTGGAGGACCGATTTCTAGGCCTGACGGACACGGCCAACACCGACTGCCTCTATGCCATCGTGGGGAACAAGGTGGACCTCAGTGAGGAGGGGGCCTCGGAGAACTGGGAGAAGGAAGGGCACAGCTCCGGGCCAGTGGGTGGCGGCTGTGTGTCGCCCAAGGTGTCCAAGCAGGTGCGTCTGGAGGAGGCAGTGGCACTTTATAAAAAGATCCTGAAGTACAAGATGCTGGATGAGAAGGACATGCCAGCTGCTGAGCAGATGTGCTTCGAGACCAGCGCCAAAACGGGCCACAACGTGGACCTGCTGTTCGAAACCTTGTTCGACCTGGTGGTGCCCGTGATCTTGCGGCACAGAGCCCAGGGGCCGCCGCAGACGGTGGATATCTCCCGCTATAAGCCCCCCGGGCCGGCCAAATCTGGGTGCTGTGCCTAACTCTCGGGGCCCTCCTGACCCCCCGTTTACACAACTGGCAAGGAATGTGACCAAGCCAGCTGTGGTCAGGAGCATAGAAAGTCAAGGAGCTCTTCTGGAGACTTGCACATGGAGGAGAAGATCCGAGTGGAAATGACAGCTAGTTATTAAGAGAATTTCAATGTGAATTGTTGCCTCTGTCTACATCGCTGTGTTGGGAGGTGGGGAGCTGCAGGATTAAGGTTCTTGGAGACTGTGGTCCCCTTGCTGATTCTTTCCTGACAACCTGGCCTCTGACAGAAGGTTGCCTGGGTGGGTGTCCACCTGTCTAAGTACCTGTATGACTTTTATGTTTGTTGTTCTCAGACGTTTCTCTTCACTGTGATTTATTTTTGGTCCTTTCATTTGGAACTTGTATCTTGATGCATCATAAAGATTCTCAACATGTTAATTTATACAAAATCAGGAATCACTGTTTTTATATTGGTTGTAGCAACGTGAACTACACATATTAATAAAAGGAATCTTGAGAAGAACTTTGGTGTGGACACTGCATTGATTTAGATTTTATTTTGTGCCCCTGGTGGACTCCTTGCTGGGGGCTCTGGGGAGATGGCTGAGAGCTTAAGGTACTTCTATCTTTATTTTTATTTATTTTTATATCCTCATCTGAAGACATTTTTGCATTCATCTGCAGATAGAGTGGGAGGGAGAGAGGAAGAGAGAGAGAGAAACATCAATGTGAGAGAGACACACAGAGTGGTTGTCACCCACACAACCCCAACCGGGGCCGGGGACAAACTGCAACCGAGGTACATGCCCTTAGCGGGAACCGAACCCAGGACTCTCCAGTCCGCGGGCCGACGCTCTAGCCGCTGAGCCAAACCGGCCAGGGCAAGGTACTTCTATCTTTAAAAGCTGCATTGAATCCCTACAAATTCCATAATATTTAGATCAGCCCATCTGCCTACTTGTCTTGATGACATGAATTCCAATAACAGAAGCAAAACTAAAAGCTGTTTTTCTGCCAAGTTCTGCTTGGGTCACCCGGGTCACCCAGGCGGTTACTGAATCAGAAACCCTTTCTGCTGGTTGGGGAGTGCACTGTTTATCAGAAGACGCGAAGGCAGGGACACTGTGAGACAATAGGTTTCGTTTTCTTAGAAATTCAATTGAGAGCATGTAGGCCAGACTTGGTGCTCTCTGATTGGGAAAAGGCTGTCTCAGCTCAGGCTGTTGTAAGAAAATACAGACCGGGGAGCTTAAACAGTAGACTTTTATTTCTCAAAGGAGGCTGGAAGTCAAGGCGCCATCCGATTCAGTTTCTGGTGAGGGCTCTCTTCTTGGCTTGCAGATGGCCTCCATCTTGGTGGGTTCTCACCTGGTGGAGGGAGAGAGGGCTCTGTTCTCTCTTTCTCCTCTTCTAAGGGCACTAATCCTATCACAGGGGCCTACCCCCATGACCTCCCCAAGGCCTCACCTACAAACACCATCATAAAGGAGGGCAGGGTTTCAGTATATGGATTTCGGGGAGACACAAACATTCAGCCCATAACAGAAAGCAAAATGAGGCAGAAAGCTAATGAGAAAACGGTATTTTGTGAATAAGGCTTTTGGGATGGGGGTGGGCTGTTGAGTAATTTTTTTGAGTGCCCATGATCTCTGTTTCTGGGTCCCTCCAGGGCTGCCCCTTTGCACCTGTGTGGTGTACCTTCCCCGGGTGAGTGAGTCTGCTCTGGGGGATGAAATGCGGGCACAGCCTCCGTGTGTGACGGGCTCCTCAGTTCAGGTGCCCTGTCCCTGCAGATGATCTTAAGGTCTCAAATTTCAATTTTACAACTGTAGCCTGTTGAAAAGTGAAAATGGATCAGTGTGACTGATTCCTTTTCATTGGCTTGGTTTAATTAGCCAGTGGAGGGGCAGAAGTTGTAGTAAATTTCTGTAAATTGCATCTTTGTCAGTGACTCAGCTGGAAAGGTGCTACCCAGGGAGACCCAGGAGCTCGTCTTTGAATGCTATGGAGGGAAAAAGCATCCTGTGAAGTAATTTCGTGCTCGAAGACAGGGCTGGCTGAATGCATTCTCAAGGCCCTTTCATCCCAAATATTCTCAGGTTCTCTTGCCCATCTGCTCTGAGCACCCCTAGCTTCTGTCCCTGAATGGGGGGATTGCCCAGGGATGGAACATTCCCATCGACAACACTTAACATTTCACCCTTTGTTGTTGCCTTAAAAATAGGCTTCACTCTGGGCTCTTTTCCAAGCGGATTTCAGATACCAGCCTGGGTTCTCTCTCATTAGCGGGCTTGGTCCTCAGAGACAAGCCTGTTCATGGGTTTCTGGCCAGGACCTCACGTGGGTCTCATTCCTGAACAGGGAACCAGGTCAGTTCTGGGGAAGCTTTAGGCTGTTCAGCTGCGTGAAACAACCGTGGAGATGGAGGGGATTTCTCTGCTGGATGTGGGGATGAGCTGATGCCCTTAAACATTCCTTCCATCCTTTGTATAAAAGCAGTGTCCCTGGGGCTGGGAGGCCACAGACAGCCCTGGGTTCACCTGCTGTGCTTGAACTTGGAGCCATTGCAGCAGATTTTCACCTGGGGCTCTGAAATGTCCTCATACAGATCAAAACCCACTCAACAGAATTTCCCACTTAGTTGCATGTTTCCTGGTGCCCTTGAGACATCGTGCTTGGTGGAGGTGTCAGGGAAGTTTTGGGTTGGGGATGTTGTAATCTGGGTGCTGTAAATCATGGTTTCCCCTTTTCCCAGGCTGCTAGACTGGTTTCTTAAAAGTACAACTTTGTTCTTTCTGCACCTGACATCCTGGTTTAAACAGAGTTATCTGCTGTGCCGGGAAAATTCTCTCACACAAATATCTGGCAACCGCACCACCTCCAGCATACAGATTCCCTACAACAGAGGTGAACTTGGTGCTCAAATCCAGTGACATCGATCAGAGAGATGGTTTTGTCCTCCAGAGAGAAGGGAAATGAAAGCGACTTGTGCCTCCCCCTCCATGCCTGAGGCGACATTGATTATGTAGAATGCTTACTGCGGGATGACAGCTACAGTTTGACCCTTGAACAGAGCGGGGCTTGGGGCGCTGAGCCGCTCACAGTAGTAAATCTGCATGTAACTTTTGACTCCCCCTAACTTTAACCACTAATGGCCTCCTGTTGACCGGATGTCTTACCAATAACAGAAGTAGCTGATGAACATATATTCTGTATGTTACATGTGTTATATACTCTACGCTTACAATAAAGTAAGCTGGAGAAAAGAAAGTGCTATTAAGTAAATCATAGGTAAGAGAAAATATGTTTACAGTATTGTACATAGTTATTGGAAAGCACCTGTGTATAAGTGGACCTACACAACTCGAACCTGTGTTGTTCAAGAGTCAACTGTAATTGCTCTGAGGAAGGCAAGGCCTTGGAACCCAAGACCCTGTGTCTGAGAGCCAGTGTACGGTCCCTTCAGGTGTTTGGAGGCCAAGCTACTCCATCTGTGGCTGAGGGAGTCCCGGCTTGTACTCTCCTTTATGTAATTTGGCCCAGTGGACCTCATGCCTCCACAGCTGTCCTACCTGCCCTCATTGTGTTACTCCACCCTCTTCCCTGAGCACTTTCTCTCTGTGGTCTGAGGTGGTCTCTGACCCTCCCCACTTGGCAAAGTGGGACCCTCTAGCCCTGCAATGTCAGAAGTGGCTGGAAGGGGATGCACATCCAGGTCTCACCCAAGTCTAGGCCCTTCCAAGGCAGGGCAGCCTGGGAACTTGACTCTGGGCTTCAAATGCCTCACTCCGTTTGCTGCTGTGTTTGTTCTGTTTTGCGAAGGCTGGTTTGGTTGTTCAGGCCTCTGACCAGCAGACACCAACCACTACCCAAGACAAGAGGAGCCATCCCTCATTTTATCCTTTCATCCAGCTGTTTCCATTGGAAAAGTCATGCAGGCCTAGAAGCTGTCTCCTAGGGCTGGTTCGACAGGCCGAGGGCTGCAGGCTTCTCGGTGAGGTGAGCAGGGCAGGTCCTGCTCAAATCCCAGGGGCTGAATAGCCTGGGAAGGGCCACCGTCACCTCGAGGACGCACAGTGTGTGTGTCTCCAGGGGCAATTCCCAGCGTCCTCCTTGGCCTCGCCCTCTGGGGCCTTGCTCACCCCTTCACTCCCTTGTGTGGCAGAGAAGCTGGACCCTGACCCCATATGATGAGATGGCCTTTGGAAATGGCTGCAGTTTTATAGCCAGTTTATGCCATTGCATGACTCACAGCTTCTGAGCCTGCCTCCATCCCACTTTCTTTTGTTCTTGTTTTTTGTTGTTGTTGTTAATCCTCAACCCAGGATATGTTTTTTTTCCATTGATTTTTAGAGAGAGTGGAAGGCGGGGGGGGGGGGGGGGAGAGAGAGAGAGAGAGAGAGAGAAACATCCATTGATATGAGAGAGACATCGATTGGTTGCCTCTTGCACACATCCCGTCTGAGGCCAGGGATCAAAACCTGCAACCCAGGTACATGCCCTTGACTGGGGATTGAACCCTCAACCGTTTAGTGCATAGGCCGATGTTCCAACCACTGAGCCACACAGGCCAGGGCACTGCCCTTTGTTCTTAAACTTGGCCATGGAAGGGAGGCAGGGCTCTGTGAGTCAGTCAGCCCTTCGTTCTGCAAGTCCCCTCTCAGAGTCAGTCTGCAGGTGGGGAGGGTGTCAGGAGCTCCTGGGGTGTACGTGTCACTGGGGAGGATGCTGGTGCCCTGTCCTTTGTGGCTCAGCACCTAACTCATAAGTGTGAACCACACTGAGGTTTCAAATCTAAACCAAGTTGAGCAGGAATCTTCAGGACAGTGACACATTTTGTGTCTGCTCCCTTGATTGTGGGATTGTGGGGAGTGGAGTCTAGAAATCAACAGCAGCCTCCACAAGCTTTGCAGAGAGGCACTGTGCTGGGTGTCTTTCAAGTCCTGGCCTCAGCTTCTTAACCCATCTTGTTGCTATGGAAGCCAGCTGTGTACAGGTATAGCGACCTTGCATCAGCTTCACCTGGTTCTTCACTTCCACCTGGGGTGCTGCGGAGCCCACTCAACCATGTAAGTGCTGAGAGTCTTAGGCAACCCCTCACCACTAGGGACAAGAACCGGAGACTGCAAATGTCCGTTTCCCATGCATGGGAGGGACAATGTGAGGCTTCGTCTGTGGCCTTCCTTAGTGGATTTCTAGCAGGATAAAGCCCTAAATTGCCAAGGCCAGTAGCCCCCTTGGTAAGGTGCCCTCCTTCCTGGGTTCACTATGGCCAAGTCCCACTCCATTCCCTGAATGATGTCCCCTAGGAACCCTCCTGTGCAGAGTCCTTGTCCTCCGGGGGAATGCAAGCCAAGGCGGCTGCTGATCTATTTCAAATAGCATTGTCAGGTGGAAAACTTACTTCATTAGGTGGAAATTATTCTCAGACAAAGTTTAATATGAGATTGAATTTTATTTTATTTTTTTAAAATCTTCACCCGAGGATATTTTTACATTTATCTTCAGACAGAGTGGGAGGGAGAGAAAGAGAGAAACATCGATGTGAGAGAGACACACCGATTGGTTGCCACCTGCATGACCCTAACGAGGGCTGGGGATGAACCGCAATGGAGGTATGTGTCCTTGGCCGGAATCAAACCTGGGACTCTTTGGTCCGCAGGCCAATGTTCTAACTACTGAGTAAAACGAGCCAGGACTGAGATTGAATATTAAAGGGCAAAAATAAATTCTATGAGTTGGGCTCCCAAGGGTCAGCCAGGTTCCAGAAAAAACCAAAGCCAGAAATGAGTCTTATTTTTATTTTTTTATCCTCATCCGAGGGCATTTTTTTTTTTTTTTTTGCATTTATCTTCAGAGAGAGAAACATTGATGTGAGAGAGATACATTGACTGATTGCCACTCATACTGGGGACAAACTGCAACCAAGGTACGTGCCCTTAGCAGGAACCCAACCTGGGTCTCTCTGGTCCGCGGGCCGACGCTCTAACCTCTGAGCCAAACCAGCCAGGGCCAGAAATGTGTCTTGGAGACTATGTCTTGGAAATATTGAGATTTGACTTGGGACGCATGTCAGAATGAATTGAATGATTTTGGAAGTTCCTTGGTGAAGCACCCATCTTCCTAATTTCCATGTGTGATGGTTACGGTGCTTTCCGTAAACATGAATGCATTATAAACACAAAGACAGTTCCCTGAGAACAGAATGACAATACCACAGACTTGGGTTCAAGTCTACAGAAACCCAACAAAACAGCTCCAGGGCCCAGATGCAGTGCCTTGGGCTCTCAGCAAATTTTGTGCTCTATAGACTTGAGAAAATCAAGGCAGTCAACAACTGGGGGTATAAAAATGTTCAAAACCAACTTTTATTTTACTGTCATTATAGAGGACATACTTAGTCATGGGAGTACAATTTACCACAATTAAAGAGAGGGTAAGTCTCCAGGGCGGCCTGGGGGCAGTGGGAACATCAGTTCTGACCGCACAGGGTCTGCTGTCAAGTAGCCTGGCTGACGACAGTCAGAAGGTCTTTGTCTCTAGATGAGGTTTGCCAGACCCAATGGTCTGTAAGGATGTGGTGGAAAGAATGACAGCTGGCGTTGACTACCAGTATCTTTTTGGCCGTGAGGGGTGAGTATTTGGGAGATCATACTGTTGCAGGGTCGGGCCCATGCCCAGGAGACTCTCATGTGGAAACTGGCAAAAAGTTCAGGAGCCCTCGGGCTGCATGGCTTCATTTATTTATACTGCCCCTGTAAGTGAGTTAAATAAGTGGGTTTTCTGCGGGGCTTGAAAGTGTGGTATTATAGAGGTACATGTTAAGAAGTTAGTTACACCGAGCGCATAATAGTCTAGTGTGACCGGATGGGGAGTGCAGGGCTGTTAGCAGTTTTCCATTTCGGAGATGTCAGAGGAGGGAGGGCTTCCTTCTGCGGAGTGGAGACAGTGGCTAGCACCTATGAATGAATGACAAGTGCCTATTTGGTATAAATGCTGGTGCTGAATTCCTTTGGTGGCCTTTTTGTTTTTACAGAAAAGAAATGAAATCAATCTTTGGGTCAGCACCTGAGGTAATAAGTTAAGAAGAAGCACCAAAGTGACCCCAGCTGAGTGTCGGCCTGCAGAGACGTGCGTCCGGGGGGCGGCGCCCGTGGCCCCGCGCGTCACAGGTTCTTCATGCACACCTGGCAGCGGCTGATGTGCGTCCGGATGAGCCCTGCCTTGAGCGTGTCGGAGGAGGGCGAGCCTTGGAAGCTCTGCTCGGGGATGGTGGTGAGCCAAAAGCTGTACTTGTTGGCGAAGTAGTGGCAGGTTCCACGGCCTCCGTTGCACTCGATGAAAGGCGTGGCGCGGAAGTCCTCCAGACAGCTGCCTGGCGACACCAGCGACTGGCCACCACCTTCATCGCCTGCGGCCGTGTGCTGTGGAGAAGGAGGGGCAGGCTGTGAGCACACTCCCCAGGGCAGACTGTTACTGATGTGCTTTTCCCCTGAACAACTATCTATGTCCACACAGACCACCCGCCACATGCTCTTGAATGCTAGGGCCTCGGCTAAAATACATCGGGGTGGAAGACATGAAGGAGGCGGAGCTGGGTAGCAGGTATGCTGCAGGGGAGGATTTGTGGACATACACTGACAGGCTTGATTTGTTATTAAGTGACAACTAGAACAAAAGCAAAAGCAGTTATTAAAAAAAAAAAAAAATAGATACAGTTGACTATATTTGGAGGCAAAAGTATCATCTCCCCAATCATCCATTCAAAGAATGAAGCATTTGCCTGGCAGAAGAGATACCAAAATTTTAACTTTTGTTTTAAAGGAAAAATAAAATCAAGATGTGGGTCAGCATTTGAGGTTAAGTTCAAAATAAGCACCTGCCTAAAAGTGACCCCTCCTCAACCCGCCTCTGCTAACCTTCATGAGCAGGGGAAGTATGTATAAGTGGTTTTCATTAGTTTTCTTTGTAGAAAATCTTTACTTGCTGATTTTTCAATGAACATGTACTGCTCATGTAATTCATGTTTTTTCAGTCAGAGGATTGTTAATTAAGCAATTAGTCACTGGAGCTGACCCAGCAGCTGCTGGCTGGAGACTAGGAGAAGTGTCAGAGGGAATTTTCTTTGCCACTTTTAAGTTCTACATTCCTTTTGTTTCACAAATATTTTTAGCTCCTATGAAGGTGCACGGTAGGCCCCTGGATCTCAAAGCTAATCTATAACCGAGTGTCATTTGGCTTGGTCGAGCTAGCTCTAAGTGGTGAGTGGGTTGTCAGAAGCTGCTCATTAGAACAGGAAGATCTCAGCCTCCGTCTGCAGCGAACACAAGAGGCGTCCTGTGATGTATTTGGGCAGGGACCAGCAAAAGACAACAACTTTGAAAAGTTTTCTGCTCGCAAAATGCTCAAGGCTTTCCAACCCAGAGCTACTGCGTTCTTGTTTATTGTAAACAGGCTGGGAGAAGCAGGCGTGTATATATCTTCAAGAGATGTCTCAGGCCCCGCTTCGGTCTGAGAGGGCTGAGGCCATGCCTAGGAGCTGCCCAAGCGGGCCCTGGAAAGGACTCCCCAAGGGACACGCTGGGGGCTGCCGGGACGGGGTCAGGAGGAAGCACCAGGCTGGAAGCCTTGGAGCCGGGCCAAGTAAGGTCAATCCTGTGAGTCAATTTATATATTACGTTATTAATGTAACTTATGAAATATTAACACATCACTGAAGCTGGAGTACCGATGGAGTTGAGACGGTCATATTCAGTATAAACGAAATGGAAGACCCAGTACCCCAGTGGACTTTCCTTTCTCCCTGCAAGGGTGGAGCAAGCAGGGAGATTGTAAGGATGCCACTGTGGTGCAGTCACTCCTCTCAGTGTTAAGCTAACGTAACGTAAGCTGGCCAAAACCAGTTCTCTATTCTATACCCAAGGTGACCCTACAGTGGTATTCCAGGACTTCCCTCATTGGCATACGTGTGTCTGCTTTAAACCAACCGGTTAATGGATGTTTCTTGAGGACACTTCAGGTTCTAGATAGATTCTACTAAGATACTTAGGATTCTAGATAAAATTCTTCACCCTGTTTAGCCTTAGGATAAACCAGAAGAGCTTTGCCTTCAGGGCTCTGCTTAGAAAGACAGATAACAAGCCAAATTTATCCTAATTACAAAGGCTTGGTGGCAAATTACTGGGTCCCCTCTGGGTGGGGGCAGCCCCACGCTCCGCCCGGGGCTCAGTTAACACAGTGCAGACTAAAGTGCAGGCTGCATTCCGGCTCCCACCCACCCCTGGGCCAGGTGGCCTTCCTGTCAGGGCACCTGTCTGATGACTTTGGGCAGCTGTTCTTGCCGCTTCCCCAGCCAGGGTGTGGTGGGGGAGAGGAACTAGATTTCCTAGTTCCATGAGAGAGTGCTGGCAAGTACCACGTACCATGAGGAAGGAATATCCGATCCACAAACTCCGCCATCCGGCTGGGCAGTGGGGGATGGAGACGTCTTGACTGTGGACCGCAATGGCCACGGCCGGGGCCTCGCACACCGAGCAGCGGCTGATGTAGGGCTTGATTTCCTCCTCGGCCACAGGCATCATAGGCAGTGGGGCAGTGGTGGAGAGCCAGTAGGACTTGTCATTCCGGCTGGCATAGTAGCAGACGTCCCCGGGGTTGCAGTACAGGAAGGGCATGGTGCTGAACCGAGCCAGGCAGGAGCCCGCCAGCCCTGCAAAAGGAGGTGACAGCTGAGTGTGGCCGGCAAGATGCTGCTCCGGCCCGGCCAGCCTCGGGAGGTCCCACGTCAGGGACCCGCCACTTGGAAGGGCTCAGCTTCGCAATGGGGCCTGAACCAATTCCCATTTTGGGGGGAAAGACTACACTGGCATTTCAGCCTTGCCCTTCCAGAAGTTCTCACACATACGTCTGGACTAAGCGGGGTCAGCCGGGAGCAGTGTTTTTACGAATAGCACCTTGGGTGAGGCCCATGTTGGGGGTTCTTAAAGCGCCACCCTGAAGAAACCTGATGAGGGCCTAGCTCGTCACACCCCACAGTGCCCTCCCAGAAGGAATTCTGGCCACCCCTGCCTGCAAGGAACTCTACTGCTTCTACGTAAAAACAAAGCAAAAAAACAAAGAAAGCGACTTTCCTATGACCAGAGTGAACTGCTCTGTGGAGCAGGGTTCCCTTGCCCACTGGCTGCGCACATGCCTAGGGCCGAACGTGCGCTCCGCCGTGGGCAGGCCTGTCCAGCGTGTGGCTGCCTCCTTGGCCCCGGTCCCACCTCTCCTCTAGGCCCCCTTCTTATTCGCTTTGCCCCACTTTAAAAAACCTTACTATGGAAGTAGAACATATAGGTAGGAATGTGAACACGTTGTCAGGGTTCAGCGGACAGGTTTCCTCAACCACTGTCCCCACAGACTGAGGCACCCTCCCCCCACGCTCCGTGGGCTTGCTACATTTTCTGTGTGCTTTTAGGTCATTTTAATTCCTTTTGCCTGTGTGAGTCCCAGGCCCTCGCAGTCCCAGCTGGACTGTTCACAGAACTTGGGGCACAAAGCAAGAAGGAGGTGAAGCCGCTGGTGGCCTCCAGGCAGAGAGGAGCCAGCACCAGGGGGGCCTCCAGGAGCAGGGGGAAGGCCCTGCTGAGTTAAAGGCAGGTCTCCATGGGCCTGACCTGAGGGCATCAAAGGCCATTTTCATCTTTTCTGAAATCCCAGGGATGTGAAGGGGCTCAGTGCCTTCAAACGGGAGCAGCTCAGCGGCCTCAGAGGACTCATGAACATCACTGTGGCCATTCGATCTTGACCACCTTCAGCTAAGCTAGCCTCGGGGCCCAGCAAGTGGTACCTACCCAGGTCCTGGTTGTGGGCTTTCTCCTGGCCTTCAAAGTACAGCAGGCTGTATCCACTCCAGAGCTTGTTCATGCCCACAGGGCACATGGGCTCCTGGTCTGTCTGGCTGTGCTTCACCAGGAGGTAGCCAATGCTGACGCTGCGGCCAGGCATGCCGGGCAGGCCGGGGGTCCCGGGGCGGCCTGGCTCCCCTAGGGTCCAAGGGAAAGCAGGCCCCTGTCAGCTGTCATGTAGCCCCCAGCCCGCAGCCCGTGGCTGACATCACATGGTAACATTTACAGCTGCAGCTTTCTCCCAAGGCTGGGGTGCCATGGGGTTGGAAATATCCCCTCAGGGGGCTGGAATCTCTCCTCAGAGCACAGAAGAACATCTACTCTGCCTTCGAGTATTTGAAATCAGCTCTCCGGATCGTGCCTTCCCCTCACCCGTCCCTTGCAAGGACTTTTCCACATCTCGGTGTTTTCTCACGAGGCCATCCCCTCCCCCAGCGCTGTCCTGTCTCCTAGCCCAGGCGGCTCCTATCCACACATGTGCCTTCAGCTGTGCGTCCCCCACGTTCCACAATCTGGCCGTGGGTGAATCCATCCGGAGGCTGGTAGGTGGCTAGTTCCTGAGATTTGGGAGCTGATAATGCAGCCTCATACTCTAATGACAAATCTCAAGAATTTTTTCTGCATGACTTGCTATTATTTCTGGCCTGCCCCATTTTGCACATGTACAAATCATTTTAAGAAATCAATAATACAAGACTTCATGATGGCTCCTGTTAATGCAATTGGTTTCTTTCAGCTCACTGTCTCAGGCCTGCAGATGTTTACAAATCTTTCTCTCAGGCATGTTTCCTGCTTCCTTCTCTGAGGCACCTGCACATGTCTCAGAGGAAGGGAAGAAGCCAGCCTGTCCTGGAGGTTCTGTGCCAGGTGCTCTGCTAGGCTCAGGTGCTCTGCAAGGTGCAGGTGTTGAGGAGTGCATCCAGGACCAAGGCTGCAGTGAGGGTCCTAGGAGCTGAGTTGGGGTTTCAGAGCAGAAGGGGTGCAGCCTCTTATCAGTACTCATCACAGCACTCATCTCGTCCCTCCTTGCATACCACAGTCCATCTGTCAGATTACAGTGCGCCCAGAACCGCCCCCCAATACCCACTGCTCTGTTTCATCGTCCCTCACTCACCTTCCTGGCCAGTTGGCCCCTGGTGCCCCAGGGGCCCCTGGTCACCTCGGAATCCGGGAATGGCAGACACACCGCCTCTTCCCGGGAGCCCCGCCTTTCCTGGAGCCCCGCGGAAACCTGCAGTCACCGAAACAGGTGTGAGGCCGTGGAAAGAGTGACATTGACGCTTAGCAAATGCTTTTCAGCAAGAAAACAAAGCAGATAAGGATCCCTTCCCGGCTGGCTCTGCAGCAGGGCTCCTACCTGGGTCTCCCGGGGGACCCTGGGGTCCCATCTCTCCGTGTGTCCCTGGGGGGCCTCTCCTTCCCTGCGGACCCACTGGCCCGGGCTGGATAGTAATCCTCTGAGGGATTCCTACAATTCCTGGGGATCCCATAGGACCGGGGGTACCTGGAAAGGAAAAAGGAAGGCCAGTTGACACAGGGGGACCACTTGCTTTCTTGCTCCAATTTCCATCCTATTTTTTAACTCGTTGAAACCAACCTTGGAGCTTCCTAGAACAATCTTGCTTTCTAGACATGAAGATGGGTGATAAGTCATCGAGAGGCCACTCAGTGCCTGCCCTTCCAAGAAGGACTTTCATTCACTTGTGGAAGTGCCTGCGGACCCCATCTTGCTTTTCTCTTTGCGCTTTAGGGTTTGGGCCACATGACAAAGACTGACTCTAGAGGTGTCCCATGCCCGGAGGGGCAGGAGTAGGTCTGAAGGCCACTCCTGGCGGCAGCTGATTAAAGAGGATGGCTCTGCACGCGTGCCGATGGCCACTTACCGGGGAAGCCTCGGTCTCCTTTGGGTCCCTTCGGGCCTCGGTCGCCCACACTTCCGGGGATTCCTATGTTTCCCATGAATCCTTGCTCACCTCTGGGCCCTTTGACACAAGGAGGACATTAAGGACACATGCCTGGGTGGGGCTCCAGTCATCTCTGACCACTGCTGCCAGCCTCCCTGAGGACAGGACCCCTTCGTGAGGGCACAGTTACCTTTTTCTCCTGGGACACCGAACACGCCAGGCCGACCCTGGGGTCCAGGGTCCCCAACCCATCCTTTGGTGCCTGGGTTTCCTGGCGCTCCTGGGAACCCCTCATCGCCTTTGCTTCCAGGAAGAGCAGGAGGCCCAGGTGGCCCCATGGGGCCCGCATAACCTATCAGCATTAGTCACAAGAAAAGAGAGTTAAACAGGAGGGCACAGGCATGGCCACAGGGAGGGGCCTCAGCAGGAGGCACCCAGGAGGCCTGATAGAAAACCATCTGTTTAGGGAACGGTCTTTGGTAAGTTTGTAACATTGGGCAACTTTTTTCTTTTTATTGTGGTAAAATGCAAGTTAACACAAATTTATCATTTTAACCACTTCAAGCGCACAGTTCGGTGGCATTAAGAACATTCACGTTGTTGTACAGTCATCACTACCATCCAGCTCAGAACTCTTTCCATCATCCCAAACTGAAACTCTGTCCCCAATAAACACTAACTGCCCCCCCCCCCCGGCCCTGACAACCCCCAGGCTCCTTCCCGTCTCTATTAATTGGACTCTTCTAGGGGCCTCCCTCGAGTGGAGGCACAGTCTGTCCTTCTGTGTGCGCCCTGAGAGGTCCCAACGCACAGGAGCAGGAGCCTGCTTACCTTTCGGGCCAAATAGCCCTGCTGCACCTCGATCACCAGGCAGCCCAGAGATGTTGGAAGTGGGTGTGAAGCCTGGGTACCCTTGAAGTCCTGGACTCCCAGATGGGCCTCTTTCCCCTTAGGAAGGAAACAGAAGGAAGTGTTTTTAGCATCAGCATTTGACATTTTTTATTTTTGCTTAATCCTCACAGGAGGATATTTTTCCACTGCTTTTTAGATAGAGAGGGAGGGAGAAAGAGACAGAGAGGCACACTGGTTGGTTGCCTCCCAAACGACCCTAACCAGGGTCAGGGATTGAACCTGCAACCCAGGTATGTGCCCTTGACTGGGAATCAAACCCATGACCCTTGGGTCCATGGGCCAACACAGTAACTGCTGAGCCAAACAGGCCAGAGCAGCATCTGATTCTTTTTTTTTTAAAATATTTTGTATTGATTTTTTAGAGAAAGAGGAAGGGAGAGAGAGAGAGAAACATCATTGTGAGAGAGATACATTCATCGGTTGTCTCCTGCACGCCCTCCACTAGGGATTGAGCCCGAATCCCTGGCATGTGCCCTGACCGGGAATTGAACCGAGACCTCTCAGTACATGGGACTATGCTCAATGCACTGAGGCACACCAGCTGGGCATCAACATCCGAATTTTTAATCTATTGTTTCCCCTCCACGCTATCACCTGTCCAGGGGCACAGCCAAGGAGAGGCAGTGATGGTAGGTGCCCAAGGCCAGGGAATGTTGAACATAGCTCTTGGGGGGGGGGGGGCAGGGAGAGGTGTACAGGGAGGCAGCTACCTTATGGCCCCCCACTTCCACCAGCTCCATCTGCTGTTGAGAGGGTCCCTCAAACCCACTTCTGCTGGGATCTCATAGCTTTTCAATAGAGGTCAAAGAGAGTCACCTTCCAGTTTCGTACTATCACCTTGAATATTGAGCACTGACTCTGTGCTAGGCATTCAGCCAACATATACGCAAAAGAATGAAAGAGAGCTCGCTTCTGCTCTCGTGTCCTCCACCTCCTGTCAGCGCAGTCACAGCAGCACGCTGTGCGATACAGATCACGATGCTGTGCTGTTTTGCGAGCGCTGTCCATGGGCCAGAATCGTATGCACCATGTGGAACCAAGGTCTCTCACTTCTGTCTGTTCCTCTCAGGCTGGATCTCACCTCCATCCTCAAGAAACTCTTTTCCTAACCCCACTCCGAGGGCAGATGGGTGAACTGACAAGCAAGACTTCGTAGCTTTCCCACCCTGGCCGCCCAGCAACGCATTGGGTCCTGGTTGTGCAGATGGTAACGCTGGACGTGTCTGGCCTCACCTGGAACTCCTTGCTCTCCTTTTTGTCCTGGGGCTCCTGTAGGGCCTGGAAGGGTGTTGGCCTCTCCTGCCTCACCCCTGTCCCCAGCAGGACCTGGGAAACCTGGGTCTCCATGCATGTCTGCACCTGTGGCAGGGTTAAACAGCAGCGACGTCAGCAACCAACCACGCAAAGTTAATTTTCACAAATAAAAGAACAGCAAAGCTCTTCGGTGAGACTCAAAAAGAGAAAACCAGAAGGCACCTGTGGGATTTCAGTTTGCTACGTGGCCTCAGTACCCCACAATCTGAGATTGGTACACCATTCCTGTGAACTGAATTGTCTCCCCAGGATTCGTATGTAGAAGGCCTCATTTCCAATGTGATGGTTGTTGGTGGTGGGGCCTTTGGGAGGTGATTAGATTTAGACGAGATCACGAGGATGGGCCCCATGAGGGATTCATGTTCTCATAAGAGACCCCAGAGAGCTTGTTTTCTCTCTCCACCATGTGGGGACACAGCGAGAAGGTGGCCATCTGCAAGCCAGGAAGAGGACCCTCACCAGAACCCAACCACACCAATGCCTAGATCTCAGACTTCCAGTCTTCAGAACTGTGAGGAATAAACGTCTGTTGTTTAAGCCCCGAGTCTGTGGTATTTTGTTACAGCAGCCCAAGCTGACTACGACAGCATTATCTGTCTCAAAGCACAAGGACAGCCCCAGGACAGGCTGGGCACCAACTGTCTTCCCTGTGCCTGTGAAATGAAAGATTTCAAATGCTCCTGAAAAGGCAAATCATTTGTTTCTCTCTCCCTATAAAAGTCTGATGGGCCCAGTCAACACAATTTCTGACCTAAGGGGATGGATTCTTAGGGACCACATCTCAGTGGTCTGCAGAACCACATGGCCTCCGGTGATGAAACAGACCTCGTGGAGCAGTCCTGCTCTCTGAACTCCCTCCACCACACCCTGCACCCTAGACAGCCTCCCAGTCCCCCACTCTCCTCCCCGCCCTGCAGATGCCATGGGTACCTGGGGATCCTGGAAAGCCTTTGGTGCCTGGTAAGCCGTGTAACCCACCGATGCCTCGGCTGCCCGGTACACCTGTGTGGGTTTCACTCATGGTTATTTCATGCACGAGAGAGCAAATGAAAACATGCCTGAAAACATGTCCAGTTTCTTCAAAACTCCTGCAAACAGGGGCAGTTCAGCCTATAGTCTGCCATATAAATTAATCACTTCTATGTTACTGGAGAGAACCACGGAACTTAAAGATCAATTTCCTAAAATCCTTGCAGACTCATTACAGCCAGACAGGAACTGGGAAGCAGTGTATTCCATTTCTCTTCTTGGAGCTTGAGTCACTGTAAATATTTGGTTTGTAAAAATTGCCTGGAATCAATAGCCTGGCATTCATTCCATTCCCTCCGCATTCTCAAGGACAAATGTTTCTAAAGAAGGACAAGGGGCACAGGTGGCAATTCTTACTGTGATGTGGGCAGAGTATGAAGGCAGGTGGGTCACCCATAGTTTTGAGCAACAGAGCAGCTGAGGGCTTGTCCCCAACCTGTCCAGTCACTGAGGGCCTGTCCCTTGATCAGGGGCCTGTCCAGGTCAGGCTACATAATGCTCTAAATGCCACCCAGGGCTCCACCAGACCTCAATCAGTGGGAAGCCAGGAAGCCTGTGGTGGAACCCCTTGGTGTCTGTCCCTCTGGTCCCTCGGCACTGCCTGTGTGCTGACCGAGGAGCGGGCCCTGAGGCTTCCCACTCACCGTTCTGGAGTGAAGCACTCCTCTGCAGACTGGCATGTCTGTCTTTCCCCAAGGGGCTTGGATAACTGCAAACCCTGTTCCAGATGTGTTTTGTGTGGACAGGAAACCATGCACACTCCTGCCTTGCATCTCGCACAGTCTTACAGAAAACAGCGTGGGGAGAGGCTAACCTGGCTAAGGGTGCCCCTCCTCAACTCACAAATCTTTTTGAACCACTGTGTGCTTGTGTCTGTGAAGGGAGGAATCGACTTACCTGGTAAGCCTGGAACACCTGGCCAGCCATAATCTCCTTTGGTGCCGGGCACTCCGGCCCGGCCAGGGTCTCCCTGTGGCCCCGGCACGCCTGCCTGTCCTGGAAAGCCTGGGGGAGGGGAGACACATCCATAGGTCAGACACAGGAATCCTGAAGACCTTGAGAGGCCTACCTGCCCAGCCTCCAGGTCCTGCCTGCAGGGGGCAGCAGGGGCGCTTTTTGGAAAAGAACCAGCACAATCAAGTTCAGTGGGGTTAGCTGAGGCTTGCCAAAGAGAGAACAGCTTGTGTTTTCTTATTCTGATCCTATCATCCAAACAGAAGTTTGGAGAGAACCCACGAAACAAGCCCCTCAGGATCAGCCTGTTGGAATCACAGGTCCTGGGCGGATGCAAACAAAGTAAAAGCAGCAATCCACCCCAAAGCATGAAACAGGTTCACTGTCTGCTTTCCACCATTCACTTGGGATCCCAAAGGAATGTCTTCACACGCAAATTCACGAACTAGACCCCCAACCAGAGCTGAAGTCTGTGTTTATGGAGAGACGAACACTGGGCCCCACGAAGCCTTCCACCCCTTCCCTGTGCGCCCGCTGCCAGATCGGCTGTTCGCGTGTTTGCTCCTTAGGCAGAGCCAGGGGAAGGGGCACCACGTAAGAGCAAGCTTCCTGGGTGAAGGGTGACCTAGCAGACAACTCCTTGGTGAAACTGGCTGCCTCTGCCCTGGGGTCTCGGAGGTGGGGAGCTTCAGCCTTCCTCTGCCCCCAGCCGCTGCACCCGCAGGCCATGCCCAGGGGGCACGTGCGCTGGAGGAAGGCTGTGACTCCCAGAGGGCGTACCTGCTTGCCCTGTCAGTCCCGGAGGGCCTTGGGCTCCTGCTAGGCCTGTTATCCCGGGGAAGCCGATGTCACCTGTTGTTCCTTTCGCTCCAAATAATCCCTTTAGACCTGTAAGCACAGATTTACTGCTTGGAACAAAACACGGACATTGCCATACCACGCTTGGTACTTCTGTGGTGAATGGGGTGAGTATCCGAACACGTTCCTTCATCGACTACTTTTTTACCTAATTCTTCCCTCTGAGCCTGAGGTCAGCAGCCTCCAAGCCGGCACCCAGTGGCCCCCACGTTCTGGTATTCACACCCTCCTGCAGTCCCCTCCCACACTGAATAGGGTTGAATTGTGTCACCACCAGGATACTATGGAAAGAGTGGTGTGTCACGTTCAGCCTAGGACATAAAAGTCATCCTTGCTTTTGCTGTGACACCTCTCTTGGGTGGCTTGCTCTGGAGGAAGCCAGCTGTGTACTGTGAGGACACGGAGCAGCCTTGAGAGAGGCCCTCGTGTGGAGGAATGAGGCCTCCCCCCAGAGCTGTGTGAGAGCGCGGCCCTGGAGGCTGCCCCAGCCCGTCGCCTGCAGATGACGCAGCCCTGCCGACGTCACGGAGGGAATCTCATGATGACCCCGCGTCAGAACAGCCCTGGTCCTGAATTCCTGACCCCCAGAAAACTGATGAGATAGGACTTGCGGTTTGATGTTCTGAGCCACTGCCTTTTGGGTACTGCCTTGTTAAAGCATCAACAGATAACAATTCAGAGCCCTTATCAGAGTGGTTTTTAATGTGTGATGTGCCATGGAAACCTGGGGAATTTGTTAAACATGCAGATGTTTGAGCTTCTCCCAGAGGTGACTTAGTAGGTCTGGGGTAAGGCCTGGAACCTGCATTTTAACAAGCACCTCAGGTGATTCTCAGCTGGTCATGGGGCAGACATAAAGCATGCTGCCCGTGTGTCAGTGACAACATTCTGCCAGCGTTTTGGTGATTTCTGGTATGCTGGAAGATCGTCAAAACTTCAGACCAACCTGAATTCTGCACAATCACTTTTGTCCAGTGTCTTCTTAAATCTGTGAGGCTATAGCTGAGACAAACTACTTTTATTAACATTTTTGTGGTCTTGAAGAAAAACCACTGAAGAAGTTCTGCTTATTTTCTATTGATTCTTTTACTAATTTGAAAATCTGCCCAAAGCCCTATTTACCCAGTGCATCTTCTTTCATAAACCATTGCCGTCCTCTTCACCCAAACTGAGTGAGTCCAACATAGCCAGTCCCTTCATCCTGAGAGACCGGGTCTGACCCCGGCTCCCCAGTGCCTCTCACGTCTGGGAGCTGATCTGACCCAGGACTCCACATCCACTCTCTCTGCTGCATAGGACAAGCTCTGTGGCTGATCTCACTTAGGGTGAATGGAGCACCCCCCAAGGATGGCTGATAGAACTCTCACCCCCTGTGATCCAGTCCCCTGGCCTTGGACAGAGTGGGAGGTTCTATTTCCTGGGCCCACAGTTTAACTAAAACCTAAACACTCAAGGGTAACAACCATAATTCTTCGGGGAAAGTAACTTCTCTTCCCCGACACATTTTCAGTTGCACAAGTGAGGCCATCATCAGTGACATGTAGCAAAGATGGTCTCATATTTCTGCTATTATAAACCAAACTGCCAAAGTAATTATTTAGGACAGGAGATTTAGCCAGCCAAGAGCCAGAAGGCTCAGCAGCCCGGACACCCTGTGACTGAAAGGAAAGCCACTGGGCCACCAAACATGAGCGCAGAGAGGCTGGCAGATGAGGCTGCCTATTCCTGAGTGGTAGTCCTCTGCGCCCATGCTTGACTGAGATCCCTTTCCAGTCTGGAGCCCTTCCTAGATAAGGACCAGCTCAGCATCCTCCCCACTGGCCAATCCCATGGACGACTCTTACCCCCAACCATGACTATCCCTAGAAAGACTTGGGGCTCCAGGCAGCTTAAGCAGTGTGGGGTCTCCCGAGATAAAATCTCCAGAAGAAGGCATCATTCTATCAAAGTCCCTTGGGATATGATTATAGACAGGAATTTTGACTTTGAACTTCAGGGATGCTCAGAGAGAAGAGGAGTGACCTCACATGAGGCCCCCCACCCCTGCCCCAGGGCACACAGGGCCGGGGGGGCTAATTAATCTTTCTTGTCTTACTCAAGAGATGGGCCTGATTCCCACTGACATTTCTTCTAGACCTTTCACTGTTTACAAGAAGCTCCAGTCACCGTCTCATTTGGTTCATGCCCTGTATTGTGTCCCAGGAGCCAGGCTCTGCTTCTTTGTCATGAGTCTCATTTTATGAGCCGCATAAAATGTTGATTTTACGAGTGCTGATTCTGGCTATTATCTCTTTCAGGGAGAGCCAGAGAGAGGTTTCTTGAGTGTCTTCAGCTTTAATTTAATTAAAAATTTCAGAGTTTTCCTTGTACACTGGGCTGGAAGGCCTCAAACCATTGCCTCTAACATGATCCATAGTGCTTCCTAAATAGATAGATTTGGCCAGCTCCTACGTGACGACATAGACAAGGGGTCAGGGCTGTTGCGGAGAGGAAGAGATGGAAAATGACTTAGGTACCTGGTATCCCAATGGGGCCCTGTTCCCCCTTCAGGCCCGGGCTTCCTGGTAAATTTATAGTGTCTCCAATATCACCTGTTGGGTGCAAAAAAGATGGTTGGGAACAGGTGCAACTTCTGCTGTGCTACATTCTTAACAAGAATAATTTGCTTCAAAAAAACTAACGGCATCCGCAGACCTGATACCCTATTTCCCGAGTGCTGGGTGTGGGGGCCCTGTTTTCACTGCCCGAGCAACACTTACCAAAGTCACCTGTGGGGCCGCTCTCGCCATAAAGACCTGCTCTCCCCGGAGCGCCCTTGTCACCCTGGAGTCAAACACAAAACCATCCTAAAAGGCTGTTTATGAAATAAGCTTCTAATTTCGAAGGTTAGTGTATCCAACTCTTTGGTATGCTGAGAACAACACCCAAGGTTTGTGATGTTACCATCTGGTAGAAAACGAGAGTTTTTCTCCCCTTCTTATTAAATATAAAGTAGTAAAAATGAACAAAGCTTGGCAGCGTTACTGAAATGAGTGGCACCACTAATGCAGATCACGGCCATGTGTGGTGAGGACACCACGGCCAAGTGCATCCTTACCCTCTGCCAGGCCTTCCATAGGTGAGGCCTTCCATTGGGTCTCCTCTCAAGAGCTTATTTTTATCCTCACCTTTGATCTTTTTTTTTTAAATAAAATGGGAGAGATGGAGGAAAAGAGGGAGGGAGAGAGTGAGAGACAGAGACATCGATGTGAGAGCGACACCGCAGTTGGTTGACTCCCACAGGACCCCAGCCGGGACTGGGGACCCTGGGACTCTTCGGGCTCGCAGCGCTCTACCTGCTGAGCCTGACTGGCCAGGGAAAGAGCTTTTTTAAAAAAATCCTCACCTGAGGATATGTTTTTATTGATTTTTTTATCCTCACCCGAGGATATTTTTCCATTTTTTGTACCGATAGAGTGGGAGGGAGAGGGAGGAAGGGATAGAGAGAGAGAAACATCGACGTGAAGGGACACATCGAGTGGCTGCCACCCGCACGACCAACCAGGGCCGGGGACAAACTGCAACCGAAGTACGTGCCCTTAGCGGGAACCGAACCTGGGTCTCTCCGGACCGCAGGCCGATGCTCTAACCGCTGAACCAAACTGGCCAGGGCTTGATTTTTTTTTTTTTAAGAGAGGAACAGTGAAAGAGAGAGAGATTTTGGGCGTGAAGGAAGGAAGACACCTGAGGAATTCTGAGGACTTCATGTACACCAGGGTGGGCTGGACAGAAGGCCTAGCCAGGGCCTAGTGCTAAAAAGGTTCATTGCAGGGTGGCTAGGCCTCTGATCTACCCCAAATGTGCTGACCTCATGTGAATGCCAGAAATGAGTCCCTTGTGTGCTGAGGACTGTGAGTGTGTACTACCTTTTAAACAAAAGAGGGTATAAATTCCACAAAATCAACTATGGAGAACCACTCTGTGACATGTTAATATACCATCTATACTGCACTCAATAAAAACTGCAAGGTAGCTACTACCTGTACTTTATATTAATGCTTTTTTTTTTTTTAGTATGTGCTCCTAACGGGAACCGAACCCGGGACTCTCTAGTCCACAGGCCCACACTCCAACCACTGAGTCAAACTGGCTAGGACATCCTGTACTTTATAGATGAAGACACAGGTGAGGAGAGGTGAGAGCCCTTCCTGGGTCAGGGTACACCACTGTTATCATGGAAACATGGTGCGTGGCATAGAGTAAGTGCTCAAAAAACAGGCACTGAGTGAATAAAGGAATTAACGGCAGGCCAGATGTCCTCCATGCCGTGGCTCAGCAGTGGGTTTTCAGTCCTGATGTCCTGCATGTGCTCAAGTTTAGAGCTCGAATCCCTAGAGATTCAAGTTTTGTTCTCCAGGCTCCCATGACGAAATGCAGACACCATGCTTCATCCCACAGAAGCCCACGAACGGGCAGCAGTGGCGTGGGCGGCACTCCGATCTCCGCTGGGGTTGGCATGAGCACAATGTTTCCTTACGCTGACCCAGGGGCCAAAACAGCCTGGGACCCTGACTCTGAACCTGTACCTTGACCACTCATACGCTGTCAATGCTGGGCCCTGGCTCTCTGCTCAGCAAGCAAGAGGAGAGGAGTCGACAAGAAGATGTGGCGTAAAAGGCACCCCTTACCCTACTTCCTACGAAGCCTGGAAATCCTGCAATTCCGGGGGAACCCGGCACACCAGGGAATCCTGGTAAACCAGGCACGCCGGGAACTCCGATGTCTCCTTTGACTCCTTTGATGTAGCCAGGCTGCCCAGGCAACCCAGGGATGCCCGACAGCCCGGGGATCCCCGGCATTCCTGGAACACCTGCAGAAAGACCTGAGTGTAACGCCCTCCCCTGGCTTTCAACGTTGCCATCCCCGAGTGCTGCACATCTTCAAATGGGAAGGCGAGGCCAAGCAGGCCTCGAAGAGCCACCCGCGAGCCCGTGTGAGGAGACGTCAGGTGCCACAAGGGCCGGAACACAGTGAAGGCTGGTGTGGGCACAGGGGTGTCTCTGGTGTAGAAGCTGCTGCTCCTTCAGACTGGGAGAGGCAAGGGTGGGCACCTGGCTGGGTGGAGGATTGGGACCCCCAGATCTGGCAGCTCAGAGGTCAGACTGGGCCTTTTGCTGACACCTCACCTTTTAGGCCGAGGTAGCCCTTCAATCCCATAGGTCCCTTATCTCCTTTGTCTCCTTTCATGTCTTTCATTCCTGGCTTGATGATGGGAGGCGGTCCTGGGGGGCCTGGTTCCCCTCGGTTTCCTGGAAGGAATCAGAATGCAGTCATTTCACTTGCCCTCTAGAGCAGGTGTAGAAACACAGGTGGAGAAGGCCTCTTGGCTGCTGCTGTCCTTCAAAACTGAGCCCTGAGAGGCTCTGAGCAGAGGGCTGGCATGCATCCCCTGACCCGGAGGCCCACGAGCGGGGGTGAGGGGCACTGAGCAGAGGGCTGGCATGCATCCCCTGACCCGGAGGCCCACGAGCGGGGGTGAGGGGCACTGAGCAGAGGGCTGGCATGCATCCCCTGACCCGGAGGCCCACGAGCGGGGGTGAGGGGCTCTGAGCAGAGGGCTGGCATGCATCCCCTGACCCGGAGGCCCATGAGTGGGGGGTGAGGCGCTCTGAGCAGAGGGGTGGCATGCATCCCCTGACCCGGAGGCCCACGAGCGGGGGTGAGGGGCACTGAGCAGAGGGCTGGCATGCATCCCCTGACCCGGAGGCCCACGAGCAGGGGTGAGGGGCTCTGAGCAGAGGGGTGGCATGCATCCCCTGACCCGGAGGCCCACGAGCGGGGGTGAGGGGCTCTGAGCAGAGGGGTGGCATGCATCCCCTGACCCGGAGGCCCACGAGTGGGGGTGAGGGGCTCTGAGCAGAGGGCTGGCATGCATCCCCTGACCCGGAGGCCCACGAGCGGGGGTGAGGGGCTCTGAGCAGAGGGCTGGCATGCATCCCCTGACCCGGAGGCCCACGAGCGGGGGTGAGGGGCTCTGAGCAGAGGGGTGGCATGCATCCCCTGACCCGGAGGCCCACGAGCGGGGGTGAGGGGCTCTGAGAGACACATGCCTGTTTCCCCCTTCCCTTTCCCCTTCTCTATAGTGGAGGTGTGGGCAAAGAGTATATCGAGGTGGCAGGACCCGTTCCCCCGACAGTGCTGCCAGGACAACTCAGGGATGAGTGTGACAGGTAACACAGAATGTGAGCAGGGGCTATTTATCTGTACTCTGATGAGACTGCAATCACACTTGATCACAAGTAGGAAGTATCAAATGAGGAAGGACGCCAGCTCAACCCCCTTCCTGCGGGCACCAGGAGCCCCAGAATTCAAAACGGGGCAGCCGGAGCCGGGGAGGTCACAGCAGCAGGCAGGTGGGGTGGTGCAAAGGGACTTGTAAGGAGTGAATAAACTGGTCAGGGGCGTGGGAAGCTGTGGGCAAGTCAGAGAATTGTGCCATGAGGTTCGGGCTGAGAATGTTCCAGAGTCTGTGTTCACTGGGTGAGAGGGGGCGGGTAATGTATGTCGCATTGGGCTAGATGTGGAGGGGAACAAAAGTACTTCAAATTGCTCCCGTCCTAGGAGAGCTTGCTGTCCGGTGGGGGGACAGGCACCCCATGGTTTACTTCCTTCCAAAGAGGCTGGAGGGACGGGTGGGGTGGAGCCAAATAGAAAATGGTACAAAACCCAAGGGTAGCTTCATTTTAAATTTAATTTTAAAATATCCATTTTTGCTCAGTGGCCTATAAATCCTAAGTTCACACGAAGATTATTTGAAAATGTAAGTGTGGGTGGAAAGCTTGGAAGAAGTAGTGCCCTAGACTATAAATTTTATTTTTCTAAGGCTCTGCAAAAAATTTAACTCTTTGAAAAGTAATTAAATTTCTAAAAACAAAACCCAGCTTGATTGAGATGTCATTTACATACCATGTGACTCACTCATTTAGAGAACAATTCAATGCTGCTTAATGTATTCAGTTGTGCAACCATCACCACCATCTAACTTTAGAATGTTTTCAACACTCCAAAAAGTAATCCCTGCCCATTAACAGTCATTCCCCAACTCTTTCCCAACCCTAGTTTTTTTTAAACATTTTTTTTTTCCATTAATTGATTTTACAGAGAGAGGAAGGGAGAGGGAGAGAGAGCTAGAAACATTGATGAGAGAGAACATCGACTGGCCGCCTCCGTCATGCCCCCACTGGGGGTTGGGCCCACACCCTGGGCATGTGTCCTGACCGTGAATCGAACTGGAGACCTCTTGGTGCATGGGCCGACGCTCAACCACTGAGCCACACCGGCTGGACCCTGACCCTAGTTTTTATTAATTAGTTGTTTTTTTTAATGGTGTTCAGCTTTTTAGGTTCCTGAAAGATTCGTTCTGAGCAGCGCAATGCTCCCATAAAAGTGAGAGCAACCCTGTGGGAAAGGCCTTAAGAGAAGGAGGCATACCTTTCCCGCCGGGCACACCAGCCGGCCCCCTCAGCCCTGGAACGCCGAGCAGCCCGCGCTCTCCTTTGTGTCCTGGAAGCCCGGGTCTTCCTTGTTGCCCAAGCATACCTTGGAAACCATCCATCCCGGGTGAACCTCGACCCCCTGCAGAGGGAATACGTCAAGTCCTGGGTTAGGCAGGAATAAATGCAGATATTTCAGTCTCACTTGTCTGTGACATTCCCACAGAGTAACTCACGTGAGAATAGGCTAAGATTCTTTACCTAAAACAGGGATTTGCAGGCTACTAGTTCCCAAGGGGCTTGCGGGCTGACCTACGCACAGACCAAGGGGCACAGAATCAGCCCACCTGCTGTCTGGCCACTGGGAGAAGACATTAGGCAAATGCACTGCGGTCAGGCAGAAAGACACGAGGAACACTGGAAGGTGTCCTGGGCCTGTGGGCGCCCCGAGAAGAGGTGTGAAGGGGCACTAGAAGTTAATGTGCATGAACACTGTCCCAGGCATGGAGATCTGGCAAAGAACCACTGGAAAATTCACATCAATGGGTCACCAGCAAGTCAAAGGCCAGAGGGCTCCGCTTCCACATAAGCCAGACTCAGTTTGTGTGCAAAGAAACCTATGCTGGTGACCAAGCGCTGGTTTCTGTTCACCGCCAACCTCTGGGTCTGCATCCAGCCTGCCGAGGGGGCCTCTCCGCAGGTTTCCCCATTCAGACAGTAAGTCCTGTTCCTCAGGGAATTGCCCTCTCTTGGTAAATTAAGAAATCGGCATTTTGGGCACATCGGTCACACCCAGCCCTAGCAGCACTGGCCAGTTTTCCCAGGGTCTGATGCCTCCTCGGGGACAGGGGCCTTGAGGCTTCAGCCTGCAGGCACATGGGGCTGTCCTCTCCTGGTAGAGCTACCCAAATCCAGTTTAACTGCACAACACCCATTGAGGTAATTCCTGGTCACATCAGTTACCTTTAGGCCCGGGGATACCAGGCATTCCGTCAATTCCTATAAAGCCAGGATTTCCTTGAGGACCTCTCTCGCCCAACAAACCAGGGTCGCCTCTATCACCAGGGACACCTTTCATGCCCAAAGGGCCAGGGACACCAGTGTCACCTGGGTTCCCTCTTTCTCCAGGCAGACCTGTCCAAGGGAGGGGAAGAAAAACAAAACAGAATAGACACATCACACACAGAGAAAATGCCTCTTACTATACCTTTTTTTTTTCTTGCGTTATTTTGAAGGCATTGATTACAAAATCTTTTTTGATGAGGAAAAACTTCCTGGGAGGAAAATGCAAAACTGTAACCAAACAGGTGAGTTTTAAAGGTGTGGCCGCAGTATGTAGAAAACGTACAGGGCTTTGAAAGCAGGAGGCTAACGTGACTTCTACATGAGTCTGACTTTCTCCACTCAAGCCGTCTTGCCTTTGGAGCCCAAAGGAACGGAGTTATAGTGGTGGAATAATCAGGTGGGCACAGGCAACTGCCAACTGGAAGCCAGGATGTGACCCCAGAGGTTACTCCCTGGCTGCCTGTCCCCCTTGGCCATCGCTGGCTCAGCCTGGGGATTATGTTCTAGGGGAGAACCTACACCTGCCTACTTGGCAGCTCCTGCCCTGCCCCTCCCCTTCCCTGGCTTCCACTGCTGCCCCGCTCACCACTCCCCTCAGTCTCCTACCACACAGCTGCCAGCTTCTCGACGTAGCCCTCTGTTAGAAACACCCAACAGCTCTCAATGCCTGCTGGACTGGGGCCCAGTCTCCCTCTCCAGACCACCAGCCCCCTCCTCAGATTAAGCTCTTTCCCCAGGCAGTTTAGGGGATCACAGTGCCAAAGCGTTCCTTGGGCACTCCTGCATCTGCCTGCCCTGTTCCTCCTCAGAAGGACCCTGTTCCAGTCCTGCCCATTTCCATGCCTGGCTCATCTCACCTCCTCCCAAGACTGTTCCAGCCTGCCTTGCTCCCCTGCCCCCTGGGAAACCAGGAGCATCTGATCACTCCATTGGCTGGCTCTGGCCAAACGCAAGCTGTTTATGTGTATAATTCTCTCCCCAGCTAAACTATAGGTTCCTTTAGGGCAGGGCTTTTGTATGGACTTTTACGAGCCATGCAATGCTCTGTAGTTAGCTGGTGTTCCATGTTTGAGAACTGGCAAGACCTGTGAACACTGACGCAGAAAGCCCCAAACCTCCTGCCGGGATTTCTGGTACTGTGAAACCAGTGGGCAGCATGGTGTCTGGGGCATCTGCCCCTCCGATTGGAGCCCTCAGTTTTTGGACACAGTTGAGGTTACTCACAGGGGAAGCCCTGGGCCTGTGTGTAGGGAAGTGTCTAGCTTTCATCTGGTCTTTGTGTGCCACAGCGGTCCCAGTGGTTGACCAGTTATGGTCCTGGACAAAGTTGTCACCTGACTATGGCAAATGAGAGAACTAGGGTCACCCTGGATGATGCCCGATTGACACAGGGGCCCGTGACTTCCTTTGGCACCACCATGGCTACCTCCCAGCCTCTCTGGGGACACGGGGAGAAGGAGAGAGGTCTGAGGAGGAACCAACCCTGCCAACACCTTGATGTTGAACTTCCAGCTTCTAAAACTGTGAGAGAATAAATTTCTGTTGTTTAAGTCATGCAGTGTAGGGTACTTTCAGAACCCTGCAGCTCTTGAGAAGGGGCGGGGTCCCTGGAGCAGTTTGAGAACTCCCCAGGGGATGGTGGTGCTTGTTCAGTTGTCAGTATGAGTGAGACTCTGACCCCTTGATGGGAAGGTGGGATCCTTACCCTCACGGCCGATGGTGCCTGGCAGCCCTAAGGGCCCCTCCTGGCCAGGAGCGCCAGGGAAGCCATGCTGTCCTGGTGGCCCGGGCAGTCCTGGTTGTCCTAAAGGTCCTGGGAAGCCGGGGTGACCCTTCAGGCCTGGCATTCCTGGCATTCCTTGGCTTCCTGCAACAATCGAGACAAAAGCCATGAGGCCAACCCCATACGGTTCATTGCAAACAACATCTACATCCTCAGAACTATTCTATAAAAATGGGATTTAGCCCTGGTGGTTAGAGCGTCGGCCTGCGGTCCAGAGAGACCAGGGATCCGTTCCCACTAAGCGCATGTGCCTCGGTTGCAGTTTGTTCCCGGCCCTGTTTGGGTCATGCAGGTGGCAGCCATTCAATGTGTCCCTTTCACGTCGATGTTTCTCTCTCTCTCTTTCCTTCCCACTCTATCTGAACAAAAAATGGAAAAATGTCCTCAGGTGAGGATACAAAAAAAAAAAGGGACTTAATTTTTTTCTGGATTATAGGAACTCTGGAAAATACAAGGAAGATAAAATCAGATCAAAGTAACTCATGCCATCACCCTGAGATAATTACTAACATCTTGGTATATTTACTTCCTGCCTTTTTTCCTATGTACATAGATATGCCTAGAAATAGATATTTTACAAAACTGACATCACACTGTAAGTAAAATTTCCAGATAGCTTTTTCCACTTGATGTTATATTTTGATAATTTCCCCACGTTTAAAGTACTCTTTATAAGCATCTGAAATGGCTACATGGATAATATCCCATGGATCTCTGCCCAGGGTGTCAGTCATTTCTTTAGGAAAGTGCCGTAGAAATCAACTCAGTGGGTCAAAGCCAACGTGAACTTGGTGCTTTTTGCTACACAGTGTCCCACTGATCTCGGAGCGCCGCCCACGCACTCTCCTCCCACTGTTTCCCAGCACTGAGCTGGCACTGAGCAGACAGAAACCCGGCAGGCAAGCACGGGGCACAGGGAGTGTATCAGCTATTTGCCTCGGCATGTTTGTGATTATGAGTTACATTTCTTTCTCCTCGCTTTTGCTTTTCGGTAAAATTTTTGTTCTTTGCTGACATTTTCCCTTGGGGATTTTGGATTTTTCCTTATGGTTTTTATTACTCCTCATGCACTTGAACTTATTGTCCTTCATATCTATTTTAAAGTTGACTCTACTGCCCAAATTTTCACTTTGTTTTTGACATGTGGAATGTTAAGTTTTGTGTGCAGATTTCATACATTTTTTTTTTTTGGTGAGTTTTCTTTCCTTGATTTTATGTCTAGAATATCCTCTGGACCTAGCCAGACGTCCAATAACGATGAGCATATTTTTCTTCTAGTTTTTAAAACTAATTCCCTGGACCTCCTTATATTTAGCTATTTTCTCCTTTCTTCTTGGAACTTAAAGTTCGTTATATTAATCCGATTACTGCCAGTAGAACTTCCATTTGCATGATGTTTCTCCAGTGGCTCTCAGGGTCACTCCTCATTTATCCCTCACCATCCTACCAGGTGTGCAGGGCTGACCGAGGAGAGGAGGCAGACACGTGGGGAGAAAGGGTGGTGGTGGTGGTGGTCATTAACGAAAGGGATCCAGTTAGTCTTGGACCAACCCAGACTCTGCACCTATGCCCCAGTTATCTGATTTCTTAAACCGTACTGGGGATAAAGGTGCGCAGAAAGCAGGATGCGTACATTCTCACGTACTCCAGGTTTACTGTGGGAAATGAGGACACTTATTTTTGGGTTCTATTTTTAGAGTTCACAGCTCCGGGGAAGTATGATTGCTAGTGGCTGCTGGTAGTCTCGGGAGAGCAGTCAAGCAGAGCTATAGGCGGTGAGGTTGGACCAGGAAGTCGGGCTCTGCCCACAGCACTCTGCTCCTCCATAGGCCAGACAAGGGGACTTCGTCACCAAGTGCCTTTAGGGCTGCATGAACCAACAGCACTGAGCAAGTAAGGTCATGGGAGCTGTGGCCAAGAGGTCGAGGCTGGTCTGAGCTCAAGTTTCTGGGGTGCCTCCCTCACAGAAGTGGATAGGACAGGCCACGAAGAAATGGTTGAATGATCTCTGCTACTTAAGTGGTTACCTTAAAAGTATCAGGTTGAGTCATTTTGTTCTTTCTGTTGTCTGTGGAGCTCAATATATATACATATATTTTAATCGTCACCCAAGAATGTTTTTCTATTTATCTTCAGATAGAGTGGGAGAGAGGGAGAATCATTGACTGTCCGCCTCCTGCATGATCTCGACCAGGGCTGGGACCAACCTTAACCAAGGTATGTGCCCTTGACCGGAATCGAACCTGCGAGTCATTGGTCCAAGGGCTGACGCTCTAACCACTGAGAAAACCGGCCAGGGCAGAGCTCAATATTTTAAGTCAATTTCCATTTATAGAACATCTGTTAAAAAAGGAACTACAGAACATTCCGCTGCCCTCAGCTGAATAAAATCTGATCTGTGAACTTGGGTGACGACGTTACTCAGTTCCGCTCAGAAACCCGCTGCGTGGGGCGCTTTCGCGGCTGCCCGGCGCGGCCGAGCGTCCAGACACGGCAGCTGCGTGGCTCCTGGTGCAGGGTGGATGCAATCGACATGGAAACAGTTTCTCAAAACTTTGATGCTTCAGAGGTTAAACTTTTACCCAGTGAAACACTCTGCCTGAACAAGCTGGTCATCACGGACATGGAATGTGGGAAAGCGTCGCAGGCTCGAAAGGAAACCTGCGCCCTGAGTTCTGTTGTTAAGCTCAGACATTGAGGCCTGCAGGAAATGGTCACATGTTAAGAAATCTACGAGGAGTACCCTTCTGTACAAGAGCTCAGGGCACAGCTGCTCCCGTCGGATTGCAGAGCAGATTGGTGAGGACATGCTGACACATGTAAGTGTGAGCGCTGAAAGGATTTCATTTATTTACTTACATATTTTAAATCCTCACCTGAGAATATTTTTTTTCCATTTTATCTTCAGATAGAGTGGGAGAGAGAGACACATCGACTGGTTGCCTACCGCATGACCCCGACCAGGGCCGGGGATCTATCTGCAACCGAAGTACATGCCCTTGACCAGAATCGAACCCGTGACTCTGATGTGCGGGGTGATGCTCTACCACTGAGCCTAACCAGCCAGGGCATGAAAGGACTATAAATAACTACCGGGAAGGCTGAAGCACAGAGCGCCACCCTTCAGTGCCACCAATCCCTCGGTCTCTACAGTCGCCCAGTTGTCCCTTAGGTTCCATAACAGGCCGAGAGGCAGTGAGGTGGGCAAGGGCAGACCCTGGACGTCCTGGCTTCAGGTCCCCTGCTTGGTAATTTTAGCCCAAGGCCCACATACCTGCCTGGCCTTGGACAAAGTAGCGGGGCCAGCGGTGTGTGATGTGTGTGAGTACATGAAGAGGGGGTGAGTGTGACTGTGTGGGTGTGTTTGTGTTTGTGAGTGTGACTATGTACATGTGAGCATATGTAAGGATATGAGTGTGCGGGCTCACATGTATGGATTTGTGCATGTACGTGTGTGATTGTGTGTACATGAGTAGGCATGGACATGCGTATGTGCATGCATAAATGTATGAGGGCATGTGTGTATGAGTATGTGTGTGGGTGTGTGTACATGAGCCTTTCTACATAAGCATACGCGTGAATGTGTGGGTATATGAGCATGTGAGAGCACATGTGTACACATCAGCTGTCCCAGCTCTAGAGTCCTTCTGTTTTTGGGCCTCACCCCAGTGGGTCTCTTGGTGAACCCTTGCACTCAGGCTGGGGGTTCTCCCAGTCAGTCGACAGTGGAGGTGCTGATGTGCATCACTGTGGAAACTCATCTACCCTGTGTCCCACCTCCCAGGCCTGCTGGGAACTGACAGGCTCATCTGCAAGGCAGCTCACACTCCTGAACTTGGTGAGCTCACTTGCTCTTTGCGAACCATGGCCCATCCTTGTGTCTTCATGCAAAGGATGCCCTACAGGTCTGATGGCATCTGCTAACTGCACAACATAGGAAGAAGTGTCTGGGCTTAGGAACTGATAACAATGCCAACAACAGGCAAATGGTACAGAAAGCCACAGTGAATTCTGCGTCTTCACATCTGATTGGGAACACCACACATCAGGTTTCGGTGGTCTGGCCGTCTCCAGCACGGGGGGCACCGAATGTAGACAGGGGCTCTCTAACTCTGCTGGAGGCACCAGCGAGCTCCCCACGCTGACCACTCTCAACTTAGAAACAGAGCACATCAGTTAATCCACACTTGTAAAAGAACCACCCTTTCCTGGCTACAGAAGATGAGCACAGGATGATGATTCCTGTCCTAAAAACATTCCAGAGGAATGATGGAACTCGGTAGGGAAAAGCAAGAGCAAGACTCGTGGCGTACAGTGCTGCTGCTTCTGACCAAATCTCCTGGAGAGATTTCGGAACCAGCTCTGGGGGCCACGGTGCAGCGGGGTCAGGCCCCCTGCTTGCCTCCTGCGCGGTGACTCACCCCTGAATCCAGGTGGGCCTCTGTCTCCGGGAAGGCCTTTCAGTCCAGGGTGTCCAGGCAGTCCAGCATCTCCCCGGGGTCCAGGCTGGGCTCCCAGGACTTCGCCAGGAATACCCTTGTCTCCTGGGGGCCCGACTGGTCCTGGTAGGCCGCTGGAACCTGGGAATCCATCCAGGCCAGGGGGGCCTGCCACACCTTTGGATCCACGGGGCCCTATGAACCCTGAAAGGAAACATGAGTCATCCCCACAGCCACAGGTCAGCATTGTGATGTTCTCAGAGAAGTACCAGAAAGAGGCTGGAGAGCCTGAGGGTTTGTGTCAGGGTCCTCAGCTCCAGCCTTGGTCCTGTTACCCACCTTGGAGCCCACAGCACCCACAAGGTCATCTGCCTCCCTCTGCTGCCTGGCCCCCCGCCCTACAATTTAGCTATGGTGGATGAGGCCTTCAGAACCAACTCCTCCTTGGACACAAATTGTCATGATTCATGGTAACCCATGCTGTGCAAATAATCCAAAAAGACAGCTTTTGTGGGACCTTCAGGATGTGTGTGTGCAAGTGAGGGACAGAGTGCTGTGACAGAAGAGCCCTCAGAGCCCAAACTCTGCCCCCTCTAACTCTCTCCCTGGTCATCAGTCACCTTGGAAGTGCAGTGAAAGGGACTCGATAGCCCTTTGTCATTGTGACTGTCAACTGCCCATATTTGGATGGAGGGATATGGCTGTCATGTGCTCAGGCAGTTGTTCCTTTCTTGGATGCCACTGGGTCAAAGGCTCTCATTACTACTTCCCCTGTCACTGTCCTCACCCCTGATGTGACCTCAGACTGACCTGCAGGGACAGTCATGTGTTTGTTTGGAAGAAAAGCTTTTTGTGGTCATCCCTGCCTCGCCCTGGTGTGCAGGGTGTGGGAAAGGAGGCGCCGTCTGCCCCTTCTGCGTGCTATACCCGGCAAGAGCCTTGGCACAGGGCGCTGGGTCTTTCCTAGGACGGCAAAGCTCACCATGCCTGGAGCTGGGAGCTGGGGCGAATGGTATGGCTGCATTTGGGACACAGAACAAAGGATCCGAACATAACTTGAGAATTAGTTGGACCCTATTTCAGAGTTTAAATGGTGTGATTTACCCACATGCAGAAGAAATATGACTTTCATGGAAAAGTTAAAAACTGCACGTGTACTTCAACGTCGGGTATGAGTGCACATGTGGATCTTATTCCTGGAACGGACTGGCGGGATGTTCTGCAGTCTTTGAAGTCGGGCATTTTGCTTTCTTCTGCACGTGGTGACAGAAGCAGAGCATATTCCATTACCATAAAGAGTGCCATGCATTAAAACATCTGAATACATCAGTTCCTCCTTTACCCCTTGCCTCAGCGAGATCCAACGTCCCTGTTCACTTAAGGGCTTACATTTCAATACAGAACAGGCTTTCTGTGCCTGTTGTCAACTTCCCCAAACCCCTGACAATGAGCACAGCCCACTCATTTTCCACGCCAGGAGAATGCTCTGCAGTCCATGCCTATTTGTCTGGGCACTTAAATTATGAGTACTAGGCACCCTTCATATTTGAGGCAAGAAGGTATTAATGATTTGTTTTCCTGCTCTCAAAAAAATTCACACTTCACTTTTGTATATGTGGTATCAACTGCGTGGCAAAACTGTAACTGTTAAGCGTGTAGCTGCTCCCAGTAGGCAACAGAATGCTACAGTCTGATCCCCGAAAGCAGAAAAGCTTTCTTTGTTTCTCTCCAAGGCAGGGTTTCACCAATGCCCTGACAAAAGCCACAGGGGGTAAGCCTCCCCGTTCTGCAAAACACAGTGAGATGCATAATATGAAAAGCAACAGGATAAAGGTTTGCAACAATTTTTTCAGTCTGGAACACGGAATCCGGGAAGAAAATCTATCAGGGACTGAGGCCAAGTTCTACAGTGAGGACTAAACCACTTGTCCGAGCGTAGGACAGGGAAGAGGCAAAATTCAGTGAATCTTCACCAAAAATATTTCCTAAGGCCCTAACCCTAAGGACACACAGACCCACTGTTCGGTGTGATAGTCCAGGCATGTGGAACATTTTCCAGTTTCTGGAGCCCAGTGTGAAATGAGTGCTGACATGCTGGAGAGCAGTCACGGAAGGATGTTCCGAATTCCGAGGGCACGAAAATTATGTCGTGAAAAGAAAGTGTCATTCCTGGGCTCGGGTCTGTCGGTTCTTGAGATGGCTGTGAAGACACAGCTGCTCTCTCCCGATGTGGGGGAGGGGCGGTTACGCAGTAGAACCACGGGCTCAGGGAACCACCAACGAGAACCTACCGGGAGGCAGATTTCATTTCAACCAAGGAAGAACTTTCTAGCAATGAGAGTGTCAATGTTTCACAGGTGCGGGTGACAAGGGTGATACTCGCAGAGTCTAGTAGAACACCTGACCAGAATCCTGAGGGAGGGTGTTTGGCCTCAGGTGGCCTTAGTGACTTCTGCAGTTTTACTTGAATAAGACAATTCTGAAATGCTTGGGTCTCTGCATGCCAAGTAACCAGTCACACTCAGGGTTTCAGCCATCACCACAAAGGGACACCTGAGCCTGGGAACACTGAATCATATTTTACAGCATGCTGACACCCAAGCAAGATGCTCCCTGCTTCTCACCACAGTTCACTGCCAGAAACACATTCAAGTGGCTTCAGCTCTTTTAGCCACGACATTGACTTAAATAATAATTTGCTGTATCACATGCTGGTGGACTGGTTCAAACTTGACCCAGACAAGCTGCAAATGGAGGCAGCTTGAACAGGTAAGGCTGTGAAAAGCAAAGACATACATGTTCTTTATCTGGTGAGTGATCAGCAGACTGGAAATCGACGATGAGAAGGCTGTACCTTGAATGATAATCGTGGGAGAGGATAACACTCTGTTGCCCTTAGAATATTTACCATCAACCAGAGAAAAACCTTTACATACACCTGTCCTTTCCTGCAATATCTGCCTTATATTCCGCAAAACTCCAGTACATTAGAACAAAAGTTGTCATCAGCCATTTGTTGCCCAGTTTCTAAGTGCTGAAGGGAGCAGGGGCACCCTGATCACCTGCTCACAGTCATGTCCTACCCTAGGCGCCTGAGAGGGGGCCCGACCCTGACTTACCTGGGGGTCCCGGGAACCCTTCACGACCTGGATCTCCTGGGAGACCCTTGAGTCCTGGTGGTCCATCAGCTCCTGAGAATCCTGGTACCCCTCTGAAGCCTTTAAAACCTAAACAACCCAAAGAAAGTACAACACGTGTCAGAGCCCCGTGAGGAAAGCCCAGCAGTAGATGAATGGGAGGTGACCATGTTTGTCACCTGACTTAATGTGGTCTCTTATGAAACTGCAGACGCTGGGGGATGTGAACCCTAAAACTGCACCTCTGACAGCCAGCCACACCCACTCGCGGACCCCACAGACCTCAGCGGCAGGCCCCATCCATTTGGCCTGCCCAGAATCCCAGGCTGGGCTGCTGAAGCCGAGAAAGACCGGAAGAGGTGACTGCTTCTTCAGATGCACAGGCACCAACACAAGGACACGGGTCCCGAGGAACAGGGAACCGTGACACCAACAAAGAAACTAACGGAGGGCCAGTAACCAGCCCTGGAGAACTGGAAATCTAAAGAGTGCCTGACGCCCGGCTGGTGTGGCTCAGTGGTTGAGTGTTGGCCCATGCACCAAGAGGTTGCCGGTTCGATTCCCAGTCAGGGCTCATGCCCAGGTTGTGGGCCTGATCCCCAGTGGGGGGCATGCAGAAGGCAGCCAATCGATATTTTTCTCTCATCGATGTTTCTGTCTTTCTCTCTCCGTCTCCCTTCCTCTTTCTCTAAAATCAATAAAGATTTAAAAATAAATAAATAAATAAAAGCGCCTGACAAAGAATTCAAAGTGGTTGTCCTAGAGAAGCTCAGTTCATACAAGAGAACACGGACAGACAATAAACAAAATTGGGAAAACAATACATGAACTGCACGAGAAGTTTTACAAAGAAATGGAAGCCACAAGGTAACAATCAGAAATGCTGCAGCTGAAGATTATGACGACTGAACTAAAATAGCATCTCTGGGCTTACAGAATGACTTCCAGTATTTAAAAGTCACGCTTAAGCACTCAAACTATAATAAGAATAATGCTTAAGATTAAGGTTCCACAGTGTACTGATTAAGGCCTCAGGATGCCTGGGTGTGAATCTGGGCTCTACCTCTTCTATGTGTACGACCTTGGACATGTTTCTGAGCCTCTCTGGACCTCGTGTGACACCCACCCACGATTCCCTTCTCAGAAAGTGGGTAAGCAGTGGCAGAAGTGAGCGAGAAGAGTCAGGAAGGAAACAAGCCAGGGGCTCTCAGCCATGGGAGCCCTGGCCAGGAAGTGAAACTAACCATCCATGGCAGTCCAATGGCCCAGAGCCTCAGACACCCAGACCCAGACTTCTGAGCACTCTGCAGTGACCAGGCCTCAGGTTATGTCTCTGGTCCGGGTGTGTGTCACATGTGTGTGACTCTGGTCCTCTCTGACCCCAGAGATATATCTGTACAAGAGGTTCTTGCAAGAAGCAAGGTGTGCAAACTGACACAAAGCACATGTCCCTAACACAGGTAGTTCTGGGATAAATTCCTCATATTTGTCTCTGTCTCCATTAGGTCTAGGATCAGTGTCAAGAGGACAAGAGCAAAAGCTCCACAGACTTGCTTGAGCTGAGTAGAACCTTTATCAGGGTTCCTGTGCTTGGGGGGCTCTCATCGTGACAGTCAGGATATGAAGGGGAGAACTCAGGGCTGCAGAAATCTGACACCTCCAGGTCACTGCAGGGGCATAAGAGAGAATGGAGAGACCTGCCGGGCACCCCTTCCTCCCTGGTGAGCTGAGAGGAACTGCACGGTTACCACACAGGCTCTGAGGTCTGGTCAGCTTCCTGAGTGGGCGAGTGGTTCTCAGTCTCCTGCCTATGGCTCCTCTGACACCCTCTGCGCTCACTAGACCTTTCTGGAGCTTGTGAAAAAAAAAATTCGGACGCCTGGGAGGTCTGTTACACCAGCACCGCTCTGGGGACCGCACTCTGAGGAGCAAGGCGCTGGAGGGCTGCCTGAGTTTCCTCCTGCTGTGATAGTCTCCACCTTGTTGCCATTCACTCCGCCTTCCCCACTGCATCCTGCAACATTTACAACACCGTAAGCACTTTTAGTAAATGTGGGAAACGCAAAACATGCCTATATTCTTCACCCAGAGACAGGATACTCAGATTTAAAAAATGTCGACTTACATTACTTATAATGAAAGACTTAGACAAAAAGACAGTAAATCTTCAGACCAGCTAAATGAAATAACTCCTCATCTATTGGACATCTTTGATCTGAACCTTTTCCTGCAGGAGGCAAACTGGAGACATTTTTGTCCCGGTGTCTCTGTGCCTGCCTGGCCTTAGGCTCAAGACAGTCCCTTCCTCTCAGGCTCTCAGCGACCTCAGCCCACCTGCCTATGGCGGCAGCCAGGCGCTCCGAGCATCACCGTGTTTCTCTGTAAGCGGAGAGAACAGCACCTCCTCTCTGTAGCATGCGAGGCAGGTGGGCAGGGATGTGAGCCGGGGGTGGAGAAGTGTATCGATAGGTACAGTAAGAATTCCAGCCTCTCCATGCTGAGATCAATACAGATCAGTATGCGCAGGAAGCACTAAAGATCATGTTTTGCAAGTCCATAAAGCCCTCCGGGACCAAGTATTAGTCTATATCAGAAATATTGAATCTGTGATCTCATATGAGCTCATGAAACTTCATGTCGTCAAAACACGTTCAAAATCTTCTCCCCTCCCACCTACTTTTGGACCCGGCTTCCACTCAGCTGCTGCTGGAACTGCTCCATCCCCTGGCTGAGCACTTTAGTTTATATGGGACCTCACCCACAGCACGTGGCAGAATTGTGGGCATCATGGAGAAGTAGGAAAAGGCTAGAACACCTGTACTTTTCCTTTCATACAAGTGAGGAGACAGTGTCAGAAGAAAGAAGTGAGATGCCCAGGCCCCACTGCTAGTTAGTGTTAGAACTGGACCCCAAGGCAGGCTTCTGGCCACATGGCTATGCTCTCAACACTGACTTAGCCGAGTGACTTCCTCAGCGGGTGCCCAGGCGCTCTTCCCTGCCTGCCACAGCGAGAAGAGAGGAGCAATTGGAAGTCTGAAGACTGCTGTGGTCTGAGAACCGCCTGTCCTAGGTTGACTGACGGACAGCTGAGCAGCTGCGGGTGCCCAGGCCCCACCGGTTACCTGTGTAACGCCAGCCAGCACAGGGACGGCTGCAGACGCCGGGCTCTGTCATGGGGAACCCTTACTTATTTCCTGTGGGCTCTTTAGATGGGGCGATTGCTCTGTGCCAGCAAACAAAAGCCTAGTTCCTCCTAGACTGCAGAGACAAATTCCTAGCCCTGTTTATGTCTGCTTTCGTCTCACTCAAAACCCCAAAGAAACAATCTCTTTCTGTCGGTTCACACCATATATTCTGGGACACAAAGGGATTAAAAAATACACAGAGATAAACTTCTCTACCAGGCTTCAAGTGGCCCCTCAGTCTCTGCCACTCTTTGGGTGCCCACCAAGGTGTGTGCCATCACCGAGGCCTCGTCCTGAGTAGCAGGAATCTTCTCCTTTAGACTGGGTTCAACCAGGTGTCAAATACCACACACATTTTCTACATTGACGAGTAAAAGTCTGCCTGCTTCAGAAGCTACCAGTTTGTGGTGGAGTGCCAGACGGCAGGACTGGTGACATCCAAGGGCAGGAAGGAATGCAGGGGGCAGAGGAAAGATGTACAAAGAGGGGAAAGAAAAAGCAGATGCTGAAGGCTGGAAGTGATCACTGGGTTCCCGGAGCACATTACCTATGGGTCCTGGGGGTCCTGGCTGGCCTGGTGATCCCTTGGGCCCTCCAATGCAACCTGGGAGGAAAGACAACAAGCTGAGCTGAAGCAATCCTGGATGCTCAGCCTCATGGCTTTGGGATAGTGCCAAGGTAAGAGCACCAGCCATGAAAACTGGCTACCGTTTTATGACCAGAGTAATTTAATGAGTTAATTAATCTTGATCTGATGTAAATAAAAGTTTAATTTTATTGTGTAATGAAATGAGAATCATTACCATAAAATGCAAACATGGTAATTCCAGTCAAATGAAAGCCTGCACCGTGCTGGCCGCGATCCACACATTTAGGGCAAGAGCTCAGCGCGGCTGAGCTAACCGAGCTCCTCCCCGGTGAGTCCATGTGAATGCCTCTTTTGTCTGGAAATGTCCACCAGTGGATGAAAACTGTTTGTAATTTCAAAAGGAATTCTTTGACTTCTCCTTTGTGACTTCGGATGCTTTCAGAATTAGCCACAGCAATAGCTGCTTTGAGCCATGGGGAGTGAAACCTGGTGGCCACTTCGGGCTGCTGCGGCCAGTGACATCGGGCAGGTGTATTTCGTTGTCTGGCCCTGGTCTGAGAGGGCCCCTCTGCGGGTACTGCAGTTCTCTGAGATGCCCCTCGTCTGCGTGCCTGGGATTTGGCAAGGCTCCTATCTTGAGAGAGGCTTTGGCCTCCTCTGCCACACTAGGGACCAGGAGGTCCACCCTGGCCAGCCCAGGTCATAAAAAGAAACTCGCTGTCTTCAGGGGGCCTGGCTTCCAGCCCGCAGAGCCTCACCCAGGGGCCTTCTCACATCTGGGTCACTGGCCAGCTGTCCGAAAGCTCTGGGGTTTGCCAGTCCTGCTCCACACACTTGCTCTGAGTGCCGGGTCCATTCCCGCACCTCATCCTCAACCTCATGCAGGGGACCCATAGATTCTGATGCTACTTCTCCAACCTCGACCTTCATGCAGGCTTTGCCTCTCCAGTGCTGGCCAGGTCAACTTCTGGATACTCTCCCTCTCTTTTCTCCCACCACTGGGCCTTGGCTCAGGGTCATCTCCATATTCTCTCCCTCTCTGTCAGCCCCTGTTCCTTCCATCGTTCATTTATCATGAGACCAAATTCTGATCTCCTGACAGCTATCTGGACTGGTTCTTCACACTACATAACAAGCACATAATTCACAGTTGCCTCTTACCCATATACAGTCAGAGAGCTGAATATATGGACAATTTAGGTGTAAATATATTATCTGTTGAGTTCTTACGAACATTGTAAATGGACGCTGTATATTGGTGGGAAAACTCAGTAACACTCTGTGCTGTTATCTCGCCTTTCCTTTGAATCCATGCAAAATCGGATGGCCCCAGAGTTTTGCACGCGTGTATATTTCCTGCTGCTGCTCCATGCTCACTACAGGAGCTCACAGCAGGTGTCGACGAGTCACACATTTTATAAAACAAAAGTTTTAAACAGTTCTAAAGCCGCCTGATCTTCAGGACAGTACCTGGCTGGACGACGTCCTGTCCGTCACCTCCGATGGGCCTTTTCACGCCTGTATCACAATCTGGAAGCAAGACGCAACGAGAGAGTGAGGCAAATTGGGAACAACTGAAAGTGACTAACTCATCTATGAGTGTGTGTGTTGGTGATGGTGGGAAGGCTGGGGGATGGGCAGGAACTCCAAAGGCCATGACTTTAGCACTAGAGGGAGAGACCCTGTATTCCAACTGGGGACAGGAGGTCTGAACACCCGGGCTGGGTAGCATTTGTGTGTGCTGAGGGCGGATGGTGCAGTGCAGCATTCTCACCTGACCCCACGGGGGAATGTATGCATTGCCAAAAAGAAGAGCCATACATGCTGAAGCTCTAAACAGTGTCTCATGACTTGAAAGATAAAAGAACGGATCCCTCATACCTATTTGTCCTGGAGGGCCCGGAGGGCCACGAGGGCCGGGGAGGCCTGGTGTTCCAGGTAATCCGGCATCTCCGGGGAAACCACGCTCGCCCTTGGGGCCTGGCAAGCCCAATCCTGGAGGACCCCTTTCTCCTGGAATGCCCTTGGTGCCCGGTGCTCCTGGATAGCCTGTGTCCCCTGGGGGGCCTTTGATGCCATCGCCCTGTGAGAATATTCAGTTTATTTTTTAAAAGATACGTAAACCTCAAAGAGACACATTCCCTGTTCCCTTTCTGCATTCCCCTGAGTTCCACACTACGGATACAGAGCAGAAAGACAGTGAAGATTAATAGGAACCTAGTCACAGTCTAACAAGTCACGGATCTTATAGTAATCATGAGCAATACAACAGAAGATAGTTACGGAAGGCATACAAATCTATTTGAATATTAATTTTTCTCTTCCCAAACTCCTAGCACCTGGCGTCGACTGGGACCTTCATTCACAGGAAGAATTCTGGGTAAGAACAGTTAGGCATGGGTTTGGGTAAATGAGAGCAGGAATGCACTATTTTTATTGTTATGAGTTAGCATTTGGGGCATCTCTACTATTCACAAAGCTAATGTGTTGTTAAAGAAAAGGAAGTCTTTAATTTGGACAAGAAAGAAAGAGAAGTGTGTTCATGAAAAATAAATGGAGATGATAGGATCAGAATAGGAAGCTGGGAGGTACTCAGCAACGCCAGGCCCTATTAATGAAACTACTAAGCAGAGCCCGGCTGGTGTGGCTCAGTGGCTGAGCATTGACCCATGCACCAAGAGGTCGCTGGTTCGATTCCCAGTCGGGGCACATGCCCAGGTTGTGGGGCCAATTCCCAGTGGGGGGCATGCAGGAGGTGGCCAATGGATATTCTCTTTCATCGATGTTTCTCTCTCTCTCTCCCTTCTCCTTTCCTTTCTCTCTAAAATCAATAAAGGAAAAAAAAAGTACTAAGCAGGTATAGAAAACTGGGGTGCACAATGCAGTGATCAGAGCGACGGGGGGCTGTGAGAACGGGGGAGTTAGAAGGAATGATGTCCGCAGGGTCACAGGCTTCACACTGAACGTGTATGCATGAGCTGATACGACAGCTGTGCAAACACGTCCCAGCCCATCCGCTGAGCTGAGAAGGAGACTGGGGCATTCAGACAGCAAGGAGGCAGAGCTTCCAGGAAATGAGACCCTGCTGTCCGCTGAGCGTCCCTTCCGCCTTCATGTCCAAAGGCAGGAGGAGCTGCGTGTGGGATGATCGCTGCTCAAGGGTCCAGTTCTATCTGTACGGCCTTGATTAAACCACATGATCTCCTGTGTTTTGGCTTCTCTAAGGCTTAATAAGGTAGGACTGTCCATTTCCTAGGGCTGTTGCAGAGGTCAATGGCAGATTCACCAAAATTAGACAGTGGACAGTGATGACGACCGCCTCTGGGGCTTCTCAAGGCAGATGTTTACGTTCTTAGCTTAGAAATTCCAGCAAGCATGCATCCTGACAAAAGGACTGGAATCAGAAGGGGTGGGCTTGAGTGCTGGCTCTTCACAGAAAGAGAACAGCAGGCCCTGAGGGCCGGGTGCTGGTCCACGGGCCATCGGCCAGTCCTAGGTGTCGCCGCAGCTGGCTGTCCTCCTAGCCTTGCCGACGGTGCTGCTGAACACCGATTAGTCCACAAACACCAGACAAGGCCACTGTGATGAGTCAAGACACACATCCATACATGTGCGCACTGCACACACAGATCATACACATACACTCACACACCACACACACAAAGACCATCCATAATCTTATTTGAAAAGGCAACAACATGAACATCGCTCACACCACCAGGAAGATCCACTGACCTCACCGGCGGTAGCTCCGGCCTCACCGTTTCCCTCCTCTTGCTCTCAGATAAGACTTAAGATACCTGCTCCAGAATTATCTGGGCTTCAGGAAGCAGCCCATCCAGAGCCGAGCCCCTTCTCCGACCCTCCCCAAAGCTACTGGCACAGCTGACATCCTGTGATCGCAGACCGGGGCGCAGACCCAGGGCCGACACGCCGCGCCCCTTCTGGTTTCCTCGTTAGCCAAAGGAGTGGTCTCCCCTTTCATCTCAAGAGCCACAGTTCAAGATAGCAATGTGGCAGTGCCACAGGCTGCACAGATTCCTTTTTGAAACGAGTCTGCAAAGTTACCACGAAAACAGCAACACTAGATTGTTCATAATCCAGCTGTTTTCAAAGAGCCCTGCCCGGAAAACATTTACAGGGTTGTAACAGAAACAACCCACGTCACGGAAGGGGCAGGCTTGGTTTTGGGACGAGGGAAATAAGCTGGCAAAGAGAATGTAGGTGTGAAACTCCGGGGAGCAGGAAGAGAGTTGTGGGTTGAACTGTGTTTCCCACAAATGCTTTGGTCATAAGCTGCCCCGTCTCTGGCGCTTTGTCACTCAGTCCAGGAAACGAATTCAAGGACCCTGGAGGGGGTGTGGGGGGTGTAGGCTTGATAACTAGAGGAAAGAAAATGGAATCTAGGAAACAAGAGCTGCAAAATCCCGTCGCAGAATCAGGAGAAAACTCCAGAACCGTCCATGGGAGGGTCCCATGGGAAAGGCATGACGGCAGGCTCAGTGGGGGAGGGGAGGAGGGTGAGCAGAAGCGGAACCCCGTCTCCACGGTTCATCTCCACGCTTCTCCATCTCTGACTCTGGCCTTCCCCCCAGAAAGGAGGCTAGGACTCTGCACATTAAGAGATATTCTGTCTTTCAATGCCGGTGTGTTTGTTGCCAAAACAAGCTGTATATGTTACAACTTATCGTAGAAAAATAGCGTTCCACCACCTATTTTAGAACATTTGATGGGGGGAAGGGGGTGCTGGTGTTTCATTCTACATTACACTGGGAGGAATATTTGTTCTCTTTGACTTTTAAATGTTCACTCTGGGCTAGGCTTCCCACCTAACTCACTGTGTCCTAAAAAATATAATTTCTGCACGTTACAATGGAATGGATTGCATGGGGCGGACAGTGTAGGGCCAGCACTGTTCACTTCTAAGGTGTTTAAGAGCGTGGCTGACGAGGATGAGGCCCGAGCGGGTCCCACACTTGTGGCTACTCACCGGAGGGCCTGGAAGGCCTGGGAATCCATCGAGTCCATCACGCCCCTGGGAGCCATCGTCACCTTTCAGACCAGGCACACCTGGGACACCGGGCAGTCCCTTCTCACCTGGGAAAGAATTTGCAGTGTGACTTGACTCACACAGTGCTGCCACAGAGGGATGAACCGAGCAAGAACTGCGTGGCCCCAGGAGACTGACCTTTGGTGGTGATCATTCTCGAATCTCCCTTTATTCCTTTGGGTCCAGGAGGTCCAACGTCACCAGGGCCTCCCTGTGGAAACAAACACAAAATGTCTTCCTCCTTCATCGTGTTGCAGCATGTCTGTGAAGATGATGATTTCCTGTTCACACAGCTTGAGGGCCATTGCCTGTCATCAAGCCCAGTGGTGTCCTGGCCGGTTGGTGGAGGTCGCTACCTGGCGGTCCAGTATGGTGGCCCCCCATCACAAATGGCTATTGAACACTTGAAAGTGGCCAGTGGGAACCAAATTTTTAATGTTAAATAATTACAAATTAATGGAGCAGCTACATGTGGCTGAACAGTGGAAATCAGGACCTTGCTACCCAAAGTGTGGTCCATGGACCAGCAGGAGCCTCTCCTGGTGCTTCTAAGAAACGCAGAACCTCAAGCCCCACCTGGGGTGATCGAACCAGATTCTGTATTTCAACACAGTCCTAGGGACTCATACACTCAGGAACTGTTGAGAAGCAATAACCTAAAACATAAGGTGGCTCACTCTTAACTACAATCATTTAGAATTCGAGCGGATAATGAGCCTCCAAGTACAAAGGATGGAAATGTGTGATCATTAATATTGAGAACCATGAAAAGTACTGGGAATGGAAATTAAAGTTGGAAGAAAACACATTTTAGAGACAAGCTTATTGCAGGATCACTCACAGTTGAGGCTGTAAAATCTAGTTGAGGTTTTCCAATGAGCAGCTTAATGGTTGCAGATATATTTTAATATGTGCGATAGGAGAGTTTTTGGCAAATCTTGGTTGATCTTAATTGCAAGATTATGGGAGTTTTTAGCATTGGCTTAATTAAGTGGAATGTACTAGTGATTATGAGTTCCTTTCTCCTAAAAACGTTCCACAGATACTTGGTCTATTGATTTAGTTCTCCGCAGAAAGGGTGGTATTCTTTCAGTGTCCAGGGTCTTGTACGCTGCTCGATAAGTAGGTGTTGGGCATGTTAATAGATGGATGAATTCATTTATTGACTGATTATTCCCATACTTCCAACTCTCTGCCAGACTCTACCAGTGCAAATATTTAAAAACAAAAAACCACCTCAGTCCTTCCTACTGCCATGGGCTTGGCAGACAACATATACACATATAACCAAATACAAGACAACAAATACACCAGAGATGTTTGAACACAAACACTGTGATTATGTATGTAATACCTTTGGATAAAACCTGTGCATTGGAAAGATTTCATACATTCCAGGTACACAACATGGGATCCATTTGGCTTCTAGAAAATATTCATCAACAGTCGAAGGCTCTACTGGTTTTGCCATTAAGTTTGCAATTCTCATGACATACACTTTTAAAGGAACAGAGAGCCAAGATTTGAAGACGGTATTCTTTTTAAACTAGGACAAAGTAGTATCTACTAATTTTAATTGGAAATGACTATTTGTTTTCTGAGACACCCCAGGGTCTGGAGCAGAAAGGTGTTTGGATCTCATTTTCACCTGTAAGACAGTAGTTATAACCTCCTCACCAGCAGCTCTGTGGGGCCAGACCATCCTCACTGTCCTTGGCCAAGGGTACTCAGCAATCTTTCCTCTACTGCTAAATATATCAAATGATGGACTTTTCACTTTATAAATCTCCCCGGGTTCTCTTTTTAAGTAAAAAAAAAAAAAAAGTATAATTTCCTTGCCTTCATCTGAAATTTGCTTTGAACTTGTTAGTTAAAACCTGCCCTGGAAGAAAGACCTATTCCAGATGATCTTTTCATAAGGCCTGAAGTCCACTTAGCTGACGCACTCATGAAGTCCGTGGGAGGGGATCTTCACATCCACACGAGGGAAACCCTCCATGATTCACTTGGAGGTCCCAGTTTTACTGGGTTAAGGACCTAAACCAGTTCTATATGAAACTTGAAGAGCTAAATGCTTAATAAGTAAGAGGCTTTACATTTAAAATGTTAGAAGATTTGGGGGGAGGGGATAGGTATAATTCTTTTACCATAAAATTCACCATGTTAAAGCATACATTTTAGTGGTTTTTAGTATTTTTACAAGGTTGTGCAACCATCACTATTATCTAATTTCAGAACATTTTCATCACCCCCAAAATAATTACTGTACCCATTAGAGAGTCAGTCCCATTCTTCTCTCCCCCTAGTCCTGAGCAACCACCAATCTATTTCTTGTTTCCAGATTTGCTTGTTCTGAATACTTCATATGAATAGAACCATAATATCTGTTCTTCTGTGTCTGTTTTATTTCACTGAGCATGTTTTTGAGGTTCTTCCACACTGTAACATGTGATAGTACTTCATTCCTTTTGACGGCTGAATAATACTCCATTGTATGACTATGCTGTGTTTTGTTTATTTACTCATCAGTTGATGGACATTTGGCTATTATTATTAATACTGCTATGAATATTTGTGTACAAGTTTTTGTTGACATGTGTTTTCAGTCTCTCGGGTCTACATCTAAGAGTGGACTTTCTGGGTCATATGGCAATTCTATGACTGACTTTTTGAAGAACTGTCATCAGTTTTCCACAGTGGCTGCACCAATTTATATTTCCAGCAAGTAAAGTTTTCAAGTTCCCCTTGGAGTAAGTAGCCTTTTTGGATGAAGTGTTGGGTGCATGCATGTTGTTGGTCTAAAGCTGTGTTAATTCATAAATAAAAGCTGGGAGAACAGGAATAGGGATTAAGGAAGTCTTATCAGCTCTGTGATGGAATTTGTCTCTCACCTTGAACCCTGGGAACCCAGGGATGCCGTGATGGCCAGGGTCTCCTTGGAGTCCTTTTGTCCCGGGCTCCCCACTGGTGCCTGGGAAGCCCCTCGGTCCTGGCAGCCCCGGGAGACCCCCAAGGAACTGATCGTCACATTTACAGTCCCCTTCATCACCTGTAGTATGAGGGAGAGGGAGGGATTCATTATTTATTCACAAAGCATGAGTTAAACACTCTTCTTGGCTTTGCAGGGACAGGAGTATAAGCTGGGTCGGGGATTGGGCTGGGTGGGGGAGGCAACCACACTCCATGGCTACCATCTACTCTGGTCTCCACACTCCTGCATTCGGTGGGGGCTGTTATCCCCATTTCTTAGACGATGAGCATGAATTACTTTAGTGTGCAGTCATGGTCTCCTCGGGATGCAGAATTCTACTGCAATGTTTAATGAAGGTGCTTAACCAATGGGAGCATTTACAGAGACGTGTGCGGAGTGCAGGGATCAGTGACCGGGCCTCAGGGGCGGGATGCAGAGACAATGTCCAGGGTCTGGGTGAAGGAAAGTTGTGGCAAGAGTCGTGGGCTTAGAGGCCAAGGTCAGGTGGGCAGAGGAAAAATATGCCATCTCTCTTCTTCTGTCTTGCCATGGTTGGACTCAGGGAGCCTAGTGCTGGTGGTAGGTCAGCTTTCTAGGGGACAGGGGGCCAGAGGGGAAATGACGATGACAGACAATGGCTCAGTGGGCCGAGTCATACAGCCTGTCCACAGATGGTTGATTCCTGCAGTCGGCCGTACCCACAGTGGGGCACCCACACACCCCACATGCACCACACAGGTCCAGATGTGGTTGAAACCCGAACGTGCTACCCATGGCCAGGAATCAGAGAGCTCAACAGGCGTCACCATGGTCCCTGTCAGTCTCACAGAGAAGGGGCCATCTGGGCCAACCCTTCCCTGGAAGGGGCATTGGCCTAGGGGCAGTGTTCCTGAGGCGCAGCAGGGACAGCTTGTTCCAACCGCACTACTACCGCCAAGTGGGAGCGAGACACTGGGCAGGTCACGTCACTCACGCCTCTGAGCCTCCACCTCCTTGCCCATTAACTAGCCCCTAACTCAGGGAGCCAGCCTTAGGCTCAAACCAGATGATTCCTCTACACGCACTCTGCGGTGGGCCGGTGCTTTGCAAATACTTGGCACATTGGCTGAGCACCGGATCTGAAGTCGGCCTAAGAAATGACTGCTCGCGGTAAGAAAGAAAGATCTCTTATCCTTTGAGACGACATTGAGGGACCTGGAAAGTATTATCCTAAGTGAAAGAAGCCAAGCAGAAAAAGACAAATACCACATGATCTCACTTATATACGGAATATAATGAACATAACAGTCTGAGGAATACAGTAGACCCAGACACATGGAAGTAGGGCACAGACTGACATCCCTCAGAAGAGGGGATGGGGGTGGGGGGGTGGGAAGAGATAAACCACAGAACTTATATGCATGTATGCATGACCAATGGACATGGACAACTAAGCCGGGGACAGGGTGGAGGGGGGGTGGGGTGGGGGGTGCCAATGGGGTAAAAAGGTAAAATATCTGTAACAAAAAAATAAATAAATAAATAAAATTCAATTTTATAACAAAAAAAAAAAAAAAGAAATGACTGCTCATCTGTCCCGCCCAGTTCTGGGCGCTGCACTCCTGGAAAATTCAGTGACGAGATTGGCAGACAGAGGACAGAGAAGGGTGAGCAAGTGAGTGTTGGGTATGCAGACAGCTTAACCGCCATCACCTACCATGGTTTCAGTGCAGTTTCCATGGAGGTCAGGGGGTCAGTGGGAAACTAAAGGATCGTGTTCATTCTAGGACGAGTGAAAAGGGTGAAGTGGATGCAGAAAGGCCCAGGCATCCCCCACCCCTCCTGTTCCCAGATGCTTTTTACCTTTCCATCCTTTCTGTCCGCGCGCCCCGGGGAAACCAGGAGACCCAGGAAAGCCCGCCTCTCCTGGTGTTCCTTTAAGGCCAAAAAGGAAACCTAAGGAGGAGAAAACCCACAGGGCAGCATGTTAATACCGCTTGGGGGACCCCACCTCTTGCTGAAGCCAGTGCTGGAAGGTTTTCAGCTCAATCTCCGAAGAGAGAGTAAAAATGTCCCCCACACTCCAGTTCCACCCCAAAACTCATCAGAAAGAAAGGGAGACTGTTTTGTGGCCATTGCTTTCAAGGATGGAAAGAAAGGTGAGAGCCTATGAATTCAGTTTTTCTAGTAAGTCTAAAGATAAAAAACTTTCCCTTTAAGAAATGTTGAGTCCTGCCCTGGCCGGTTTGGCTCAGCAGTTAGAGAGTCGGCCTGTGGTCCAGAGAGACCCGGGTTCGGTTCCTGCTAAGGGCACGTACCTTGGTTGCAGTTTGTCCCCGGCCCTGGTTGGGTCATGAGGGTGGCAGCCACTCTATGTGTCCCTTTCACATGGATGTTTCTCTCTCTCTTTCTCTCTCTCCCTCCTGCTCTATCTAAATTAAAAAATGGAAAAATGTCCTCAGGTGAGGATTTAAAAAAAAGAAATGTTGAGTCCAAAGCAAAATTTTGATTTTTCAACCATGTATTTTGCTAAAGACTTGGATTCTAAGACTACAGAGAGACGCCTGGGTTTCCCAAAAGACAAAAAAAAAAAAAAAAAAAAAAAAAAAAAAAAAACCAAACAAACAAAAAACAAAAAACAGAATAAAAGTGGATATCAAAATTAACTCGGTTCTGTATTCTGTCCTCCTTCCTGGAACAGGTGCACACATGAACATTCTTCTCCTCCCATACACACACCGTACACACATGCACTCATGGAGTTTGTGTAATGAATGTAGATAAATTGTGACCCATCTGGATTCACTGTGGTCACTTCCACCCTCTCGACCCTCCCCCCTTTTACTAGGATCAGGTTACATTCAAAGTCCTGCCACTATCTGCAGAGCTCCAATAATTCCAAGCAGGAATATCTGGGCAAAGGTGTAAGAAATATACTCTTAAAATCCAACAAAACTCTCCAAGTCGCATCGCCACCTTGTGGTGGGACTGGGGCTGCACATGTCCAGGAAGCATCACTGCGGGGTATGAAATCTGAGTCTCCATGACCGGTTGTGTTCTCCTCATTGCTAAACCCTGTAGGGCTCATGGCTCCAAAGATCCAATAAAACTCCTCCAACAAATTAAAATACACGCTGTCATACCCACCTTCTTGTATCTGAGAGGTGGAGAGAATGAAGCGATTAAGGAAGCAGGAAGGAGAGAAAAACATCAATTAAAAAAAACATTTGCTATCTGTTTGGGAAAATAATACCAGACTTTCAATGTCAGATGCTCCTAGGTAACTACATCTTTATGGAAAGGTGGCAGTGACTACTATTCCATGGACTTTGATCTCACTGCACATTTAACATAATCTCTCTCATCCACCCATCCATTTGTTCATTACACATTTTTCCAGCACCTACGCTGTGCTCAGCAGTGTGCTAGGAACTGTGCATACCGTTGGAAACAATGGACAGAACCACATGGAGCTGACTGTTCAGATGCGGAGCCACACATCAGACACACCTTAGTGTCAAATATGGCCAGTGCTGTGCGAAGGGACCTTAGAGAAGGTAACAGGGAGAGAGGGCATCAGGACAGTCATTCGTGAGAACTTGATACTTAAGACCTGAAGAATAAAAGCCAGCCAAGCGTGGGCACGAGGGAATGTTTTCCAGAGAGGATAAGCTTGTCTAAAAGTTGCTGAGGTAGGAAGAAAAGCATTTTAGGTGCAAATGGTCCACGAGCCGTAGAAAGAAATGGTAACCTCACGTTTGCTTCTAATACCTCAATTCTCCCATCTTTTGAGGAGATGAAATGTTCCCATGAAGAGGTTTTACGATGCTCAGAGCATAACTCTGCAAACTCTGAAGCTGAAACAAATAATCAGTTTTGATGGCAAGCTCAAAGACAGAGCACGTTTGGCTGCCCCCTAAGAGCATTCTCAACGAAAAGCCCCGCCAGGGGAAATGGCACTTCGTGCTACGATTTGATGATGCCCCTAGGGAGCATGTGGGAACAGACTCTCATGCTTGTCTGCTTTACTGATTTTCAGTCTTTCATCCTCGCCTTGGCTAATGGCTGCCACTTCTTTTTACAGGTGGTGCGGCCATCCCTTCTTGTCATCAGCTATGACCACCTGTTCAGTGGTAGCTTTGGCTCTGCAAGGGCCGAGAAGACAGATTACCAAGTCTGCTTAAAATTGATGGTTAAACAGAAGAGAGAGGCTGCAAGTCAAGGTGTGCGGCCTCCGCCCTAGAAGGTGTCTGGAACTGACCACCCGACAGCTTGCAGTTCTCATCGGCTCCCAGGCTGCACCGCCCTGGTGTTTCCCTGGGGAACTGATGGCATTGGAGCCACCGTCAGACACCTGCTGTGTAGTATCCAAGGGACTGTTGAAAGGCAACAGGACTGCAAGGTTTAGCCCTTCTTCCATCGCCGGCTTATTCTACTTGCACTGCGGAGTACCGCTGCGCCCTAATCCGCTGCCTGTGGCAGTGGTTCGTGACATTGTTTAGCCAAAAAGCCAAGTAAAAATATGGCTGGGCCCAGGCTTCTTTGTCTGGACACTGCAATGTCCACGTCCCTTGAGTTTCTACCCACTTACCATCTGGTCCAGGGGGTCCGGCAGGCCCTGGGAGTCCTTGGTACCCTGGCTTTCCATCAGTTCCTGGTGGGCCGGGGTATCGTGCAGGGATGCCTGGGTCGCCCATGAAGCCTTTGGGTCCCATTTCACCCGGTAAGCCTCTTCTCCCATCTGAAAGTTCAACAGCAGTCACTAGCAGTGTGAAACTTCGGATATTTAGCAGCTGTGCTGGCCTTCCGGCCCATGGGAGCCTCCCCGCAGGACTAGTGCATTTCCAGTCCATTCCGTACCTTACGGGGCAGACACCAGTGGTGTACTTCAACACCTTTTCCAACTTCAAAGAAACCCCTCTTCTTGCCCCCAAACAATGGACTGAGAGTTGCTATCAACACTTAACAACACCATTTGTTAACTGCCCATGCTCTTCCCAGCCAACTGAGAATCATGCTGGTTACTCATCAGTGGCATAGTCTAAGCTGGTGGGAGAGTTACTGCCACAGATCCAGTTGCCCTGCGAAGACAGCCAAACGTGGATGGGAGACCGTTACAGCTGCTAAACCCAGGCTATGAGAAAGCGCCAGCACAGCCAGCCAGGGGCGTGACTTCTGTGGTCTGGGTCGTAGTTTTGATACTGTGGAAACCACATTACCTTCATCTCTGATGGGCGTGCCGGGGGGACCTGGTGGACCAGGGTCTCCCGGAGGACCCCGCATTCCTGAGTCCCCATGGGTCCCTGGAAATCCTGGGTCACCTCTGCCACCTGGAACCGAGACAGGACTCACAGTAAGAACAGGGCTGTTGTCTAGGACTCACAACAGAGGTTCACTTTCTCACTGAAGGCTCGTTTACCAACACCCTGCACACTGTGTGAAGCGGGGAGGGGGGTCCTAATGCTTACTACCTGGTGGTCCTTGTTTCAAGGAGCTCATTCCCAATCAAATAGGGTGAGACAAGATCCCTATAAATATATAAAACAACAGAGAGGCACATAATGTAAAATATATATATATATATATATATATATATATATAGAGAGAGAGAGAGAGAGAGAGAGAGAGAGAGAGAGAGAGAGGTTTCTAAGGAGGGGGAGATTATTTAGGGGGAAATCTGATATTGAGAGACCATGGAGAATAAAGACAATAAAAGTAAAATTTTGGGCTAGGGCAGAGCATGGTTGAGGGAAGGGCATCCAGAGGTCAGCCCAAACTGAAAGTACAGGGCTGGGAGGGCTCAGCAGGGTGCAGATGAGCAGGGGCGGTGAAAAGTCAGGTTGGGGGGGCAGCTGAGTCTAACATGAGAATAAAGAAGGAAATGACATGATTAGGAATCCTCCCATCCACGAACCAGGCACCGTGCTGGGGGAAAGGAGGGGGGGGGCAGGGTTCTCTTTGAGCCCCTTTCCCCTGAGCCCCAGCTCCTGCCTGGATAGGATTTTCATAAATATTTGCTGGGTGAGCAACATATGAATGCTCTTACAAGCCTTCTCTGCAAATAAACACAGGTGGCATTGCTATGTTCTTTGGCATGTTGGAAAAAGACATGCAAAAACAGTTATTAAGCTGCCACATAGGTCACACCTAAGCAGGACAGTGAGTCTTTGACCCCTGGGCATATGTGATAGGGGTGAGCCAGATGATCTGCTGGGTACAGAAAGGAAGCATTAGAGAGTGTTTATTTTTTAAAATCTCATCCTTTAAAACCCCTATCTGATGTGTAAGTTTTAGCATGTACATTATTCAGTCATTCAGATATTTACTGAGCACCTACCAGGTGCTTGGATCTTTTCTAGAAATTGGGGATACAGTAGTGAACCATACGGGCTAAAATTTCTGCCTTCATGGAAGCTCCTGTAACCTGGATGACTTATCCATCCATAAATACACGTACGATTATTACGGGGAGCGCTCACATCACTTTTAGAAAATGCTATTTAAAAAATGCTCAAGTCTGTTTTAAAAAATGTCATTCAAAAAGGTCCAGAGACCAACACTCTTACCACAGAGTGTGAATCATATTTCAGGATGATCTTACCACTTTGGAAGGCTGAGCTAAAATCACACGATGACCATTAGACACAACGCATGCAAAATCCTTTGTTTACACACAGGGGTCAACTGGGACAGCGCAGCATCTTCCAGGTAGCTCATGTGCACGTATCTGGGGATTTAGTTCCTTGAAGTCTAAGCATGTGATTGTTTACGGATTTGAGCTTGTGATCAAGTCTGGGGCTTCAGGCTGCCTAGCAGAGGGGCGCAAGCATTTGGCAGCTTTGGAGCAGGAACTAGTGCTGGTGGTGGGGCTGTTGGCATGGAGGCCTGATGTGCAGAAGGACTGCTTTCTTTAGTGATGCTGTGGATGGCAAGGTCAGAACCTGCACAAGGTATGCAGCACTGGAAGAATTTCCCAACAGAGGGGTCTCACCTGGAAAGTGGGGAGCACTCTCTCAGCCAGAGGCAAAATGAGGGTGTCATTGAAGCCACAAGGGAAGATGTGCACAAGACTGAAATTCTACAAAGGCTGTGTTCTAAACACCTTTTGTTTGCTTTGTTTTACGCAGATAAATCTTTCTTGAAAGTTCATAACTGTGTGTCCATAACAGAAAAGAATGTATATTCCCATGCAAGAGAAATCTCACACAAACCTTTAGCTAGAGAAGGATGGGGGGAGTAGGCAGGTGGGCCTGGGGAGCCTCGGTCACCTACTTCTCCCTGGAGGAAAACAAAGGAACGTGAGACCGACCTTTTGGAGTTTTGGATGCTGCCTATTTCCAAAGAATAAAGCTGCACATGGACCTGAGCTTAGCGTACTCTTCTGAGTAATCGAACCATAGGCTGCCTGGGGCGCCATCTCCATTATGCTGAGGCAATATGTCCAGGCATCTCAGACACTCCAAGAGACAACCAAGCAGGCAGATGCCGATATCCCTTTGAAATCCTTGTCAAATACTGGACCCAGTCAGGCGCTGCTTTTTGCAGGGGGTTGTTCCCTTGTTGATGATGGTATTTGCGGCACCCATAGGGTGAGCTGGGAGTGATGCAACAAAACCCTGATTCAATGCCATCTGAACTGTAAGAGCCAACGACTTTGAGACTCACTGGGTCCCACAGGCCCAGCCATGAGTTCCCCTGTCCTCACCAGACATGCCCCCCATCCAGCAGAAAAGGCTCCCTACCTGGCTGGTTTCCTCGTCAGCTGGTGCAGCTGTACCTCACCTGGTCCTCAACCTACTGCGTTTCACTTCCCTGCCAGCCCACGAATTATCAAAACATGTCAGTCATATCCTCCCTTGGGAACCAGGGGTGCCCCACTGTCTTGTTGCTACAAAGCCCCTCCCATAGCCCTGCGGGTCCACTCTGTCCATGTGGTCCTGCGTGGCATGCTGCATCCCAAGCCTGGGATATATGTGAATGAATGTCATCTCATCTCTCCAGTGTTGTGTGTTGTCCAACATGCTGAATAGGAAGTGATCAGAGTGCCGTCCAAAGAAAATGAGTGAAAACCATCCAAATGAAAACCAAGCTTACCTTGGGTCCTTGGGGTCCATCAGGACCATAGTGGCCATCCAGTCCTCTGTTTCCCTGCAGGAAAGATGTTTGCTGCTTACTTGTATCTCTATAATTCAAAGAACTGGCCAAAATATTATTATTATGTCTCATGAAATTAACAAGAATGCATTAAAATCACCTCCTACCCGGACTCTGTTAAATTTTTCCTGATTTTGGTCTCAAACATGAAATTTTTAAAAGTTGCTTTGTTTGAATTAGGATCCAAAGTCCAAACATGACATTCGGCTGATACGTCTCTTAATTTTCTTATAATTCGTAAGTTTCATCTTCCTTTCTATTTTTTAAAAATTACTTTGTATTGTTGCTATTGAGGAAGCTGGGTCGCTGGGACTGCATCTATCCAACGTGGTGGCCTCGCTCCACGGTGTCCTGTGACACAGCCTCAGGTGCCCTCTATCCTCCACCTTCTCTGAATTAGCTGTTAGATGTGGAGGCTTCCTAGGCTCAGGCTCATTTGGAGCAAGAACTGTTCATGGAGGGTGCTGTGTCCTTCCTATTGCATTGCTTCAGGGGGCACAGGTGCTGAGTTTTAGTGGTTTTAAAATTACTCAGTGGGGTCAAGTGCTGCCAACCTGATCCATCCAGTAAATCCTTCCTCCCAGATGGGTCTTGGAGATTTTCAGTTAACACCAAATAGGAGCATTAGAGCCTCCCCATTTATAACATTTTTTTTCTCTCTTTATTGAAAAAAAAAAAAAAAAAAAACCTCTAGTGCCAACTGCTGCTTTCTAATTCCCTCAAATATGTATCAAAAAAACCATGTCATATCTGGGTAGATATTTAAAGTTTAAAAAATAATCTAAAAATTATTCCATCATGCTAAAATAATATGTACAAAGCCCCCCAAATTCAGAATGCCAGGTGCCCATGGTATAAAAAATAGACCTTATCTGAGTATTTTACAAGATATTTTGAAATCTAGGAGCATGTGTGCTGAAAGTCACGGTGTTTAGAATGAACTAAGATTAGCTTACTTCTGCGTTTTCGTGCTGGGCCTCATACTGACTTTCTTTCACACTAGGCAGAGCTGAAGATTCACAACGGAAGGCAAATTTTTCTGATATTAAAATGATCTCCTATTTAGAGGCCATCTCATGAGGTAGGTTAGGAATCCTTGAAGAGCTTGCCCATGACTGGGGGGTTGGCAGGCAGGCATTCAGGCTGAGCTGTGCCCAGGGCTGACCTAACAAGCCAGCTCGAACAGCACGCTGGACTTTGTCAAATCTACACAACACTCCACGCCACGGAGCACTGCTCAGCTAGGCACCGTCAGCAAGCAGTAACGAGCATCCCCAGCACTCACTAAAGTTCTACCGATCTCTGGAGGAATGAGGGAGGGGTAGCCGGCTGCTCCTGTAGAGAAAGCAAAATCTTTCCCAGAATCTTCTCCTTTTTGGCTTATCCTATTTCGATGCCTTGTTAATGTTGGTGTTCACAGTTGTTCTTTGGAGCTGCCTTTGGTTACTGGTTTCATTTTCCATCCTAAAACCAAAGTCTGTGAGTACAGCTGCGATGTTAGCTGGGGAGGCACAGCAACTCAGCAATAAGATGACACGAGGTAGGCAGGTTTGTGGTGCACTGTGGCACTATCACTCAGGATGACTCAGCCATGTGTGGCATTTCAGAGTCGAGGAAACAATTTTCCCACAGCAACTGATGTTCCGCTTCACTGGAAACATCTGCATCTCCCCCAGCGTTTGCAAGTACATAAAGCAAGCTGGAAGACGTGAGCCTTGGACCCTAACATCTGGGCCACAGCGGCTGGACGCCCCAGGTGGTCAATGCCTGGTGAACATCTTGTCCTTCATTAACTTCTAGGGGGTGGCTATGTTGAACTGCATTTTAAAAACACTGTAACTCCTTAGTGTTGGGTGTAGAAAATCATAATTATGATTATGATTTCATAATTCACTAGCACATGCCTCACAGGCAATCGAAGTATTAACAGCAGTACTTTAATTACATGGGGTGGGTTGAAATGGATTACTTTAAAATGCTAATGTTTGCTTTACTCCTCTGCCTCTTTACAGCACTTGTTTACTATAATCCTTAAACTGGAATTTGGCCTTTGGCCTCTAGTTGGGGGTGTTGCATGGACAGCGGCTGGTTCCAGGTAGGTGACCTTTAGGGATACTCTATCAGTTCCTAATGTGATGAGGTGAGTGTAATTAGGGCAAACCCTGGTGTCATCTCTGGCCTGAGATTAGGATAAAAGAACAGGAATAGGAAAAATAAGGTCAACTGAGGTTGTAGGAGGAAACCGGGATTGGTGCTCATTGTGAGTAGTCAAACCCAGAACATGGGGCTAAGAGCTGAGTCTAGAGCTGGCAGAGGTCAGAAACCAAATCTGGGAGGCCAAGACCCCTATGTAGTCCCAGGGGGACTAATGACACCCATTGCTCACTATCAGGGCCCTTATGATTCTCCAATCCTGCAACAGAGCCATGAACATGATTACTGGAGTCATGATTTGGAGGCTGACCAGATTTTTAAAAAAAACGTCTATTTTACCCTGGACAGTTTGGCTCAGCAGTAAGAGCATCAGCCTGCAGACTGAAGGGTCTCGGGTTCAATTCCTGGTCAAGGGCATGTACGTGGGTTGCAGGTTTGACCCCAGACCCTGGGGTTGTGTGGGAGGTAATCAATCAATATGTCTCTCTCACGTCAATGTTTCTCTCTCACTCTTCCTCCCTCCTTCCCTTCCACTCTATCTAAAAATCAATGGAAAAATATCCTCAGGTAAGAATTAAAAACAACAAAGCTAGCCCAGCTGGCTCAATGGTTGAGTGTTGACCCATCCACCAAGAGGTTGTCGGTTTGGGTCAGGGCACATGCCCAGGTTGTGAGCCCGATCCCCAGTGAGGGGCATGCAGGAGGTGGCCAGTCGATGTTATCTCACATCAACGTTTTTATCTCTCTCCCCCTCTCCCTTTCTTTCTCTCTAAGAATCAACAAAGGAAAAAAAAAAAAAGAAAGTTGAAGCCTCATTAAAAAAAAATTTAAAACGTCTATTTCTTTGTATCTATGAAAACTGGATTATGACAATACTGGCCTGTGGACACCAAGATGTGTTTACCATAACGTTGACTGCATGATTGTTGAAAATAGCAAGCAGCTAGAGACCACCACCATGGACTCATTAAGCAAAGGTGGTGCATCCACTCACTGCAGTGCTGTGCAGCTTGTTAGCAGAACCATGGGATGTAAACATGCTAACGTGGAATAATCTCCAAGCGGCGCTGGATGAAAAAACAAGTGACAGAATGATACACACAGGTTTGCTGCCTGTCCTTAAATCATATGCATGTAAAAATACATGCCCTTTGTATGCCAGCACTTATCTGAAACAATACCCACAGAATTATTAACAGTGGCCGCCTCTGGGGAGACTGCTGGGGGCCTGTGATAGAGAGACAGTCTGTTATATATTCCATGATCGAATTAGTGAAGATAACAGATAGTTAATTAAAAGAATCTGTTTCTATGTGGACTCTCTCATATGACTCAGCGCTCAGACAACTCTAAGCCTGATCCAGATTCATAATAAACTTCTCATATAATGTTTTCTTCTCAAAAAAAAAAAAAAGCCAAAAATCTGTCCACAGAACACATGATAACTAATTGGGTCATCATTGAACATAAAGTGTCAAAATGGGTGAGATCAATATGTAAAACATGCAGGTGAGCCCTTGGTCACCGTTCTGACAGCCTTCCTAAGGGTGACACACAGATGCAGAGGACAGGTGAGACACTGGAAGGCACAGGAGCTGGGGCTGGGAGGGGCTGGGAGAGGGGGCGCCTGGAGGGGGAGAAACACAGGAAACCACCAAGGGGCTGCTTTGTAAAATTGAGAAAAAGGTAAATAATCTGACTCTAGCATTCTGAATGATCTGGGGTGAAGCGTGATTTATGCTTTGGTAAATGTAGGTAAAATCTTAAATGTTTCTTTCTTGGGAAAAAATCCCCCCCACCCCAAATTCCACGGTCTTCTTATTTGATTTCTGTAAGACGTTTCAGGCCTGGAGCAGACTGCATTTTATGCATCACACTTACTTTCGGTCCTTGTGAGCCTTTTTCGCCTTGGAAGCCAGGGGAACCCTGGGGAGAAGAGAAAGCAGAAGCAGTAAGGGCTTGGTGTAGGCAGCAGCGTTTTCCAGGGGCATTGCTGTGGCAGCTGCCACGAACTGAAACACAACGCGTTTACTGTGCAAGTATCGAAATCGTTAGACACTCCTTTTACTTCCTAAAGGAGATGGCTCATGTTAGTGACACTGTCATATTAATGTGTCCTTGTCTGCTGCTTCACAAACCATGGAGCAATCCATTGAGACGGTGTGGCAAAACGGTAAAGATAAAAATGGCCTGCACACCAATGTTCTTATGACTCTCTGTTTTTACTTTTGGAGACTGTGACACCTGTCTTTTTAGTGGTAATGGCTACCAGACAGTCACCACAAGGCAACTTTTTCTTCCTGACCCACGGTTTGGGCTACATTTCCCAGCTCACTGCAGCTAAGTTTGCCAGGTGACTGAGCTCTGGCTGATGGAGGGAGGGCAACGTGGCAGGTGCCGTTTCAGGCCATCCTCTGAAGAAGGTGCCTTAGGGCATGGGAGCCACAGGTGGCTGACTCTTCTTGAGAGGAGACACTCCCCACCCCACTAGGGACATTTGTGTTGGGTTCTTAGGGCAGCAAGAAATCAACGTTTTGTGGGCCGGAATCAGTCTACATTGTGTTACCACAGACTAATGTAGCCTAACTCATATAAATGTGTTTGTGTCTGTTGTCACCCTTCTCCAAATGGAGATGCCTAGTTTTAAGAACCACAGTTAATGGGTGGTAATGTGGCATCAATCAATGTGGGCTCATCTCGTCCCCTGGCGCCAGTGGCCTGCTCTGGTTTGGGCTGTAGACAGTGGGGGATGCTGCATGTGTGCAGGGAAAGTGGGCATGAGGTAGGTAGCTCTGCACTTTTGGCTTAACTTGGCTGTGAATCTGCTCCAAAAGAAATAAAAATAATAATAATAATACGAAGGCCCATTTAGAAATCAAAACAAAACTAAAGAAGCCACAGTATTAGAATGAATGTTTTACCCGCAGTCCTGGAAAGCCCATGATTCCTTCTTCTCCCTTCAAGCCAATGCCCTAGGAGAGAACAGAGGCAGGCAGACACTTCACACTTAACCTGCTCACGGATTTCATTTCTCAGTGCCCTGACTGTGGCCAGCCTGCCCTTGGGGTTCTGTATTCCAGCTCAGCCAAACGGCAGGTGCACAGGCATCTGTGAGTCTGCCTGGATCATCACGCGTCCAGGTGAGCACCTCTCACCACCACACAGTGAGTGATGCTGTGGGAGGACAGGGGATGCCAGGGCGGCGTGAGGACGGGACAGATTGGTCACACGGTTTAGATACCAGAACAGAAGCCAGCCCATCAGGCCTGCCTAGTCCCCTCCATGCACACATTTTCTTCTTTAAAACATTTAGGTTCATTTTATGAGTTCCACAAAATGTTGATTAGCCGGTGTTTATTATGCAAAAAAGAAAGACATTCTAAAACTATTTTCTGAAAACAAACAAAAAACCCACATAAAAAGAAATGAGAATACTTTCATTTCTTGGTACAGAAAAATGGATTAGAAACCAAGAGCCCATGGGTCCTTATGACCCCTGCGCATTCTGTCATGGCAACAGGGTCGCCGGGAGTTTGGGGACCACCAATGAGAAGAGACATCTTTATTGCGTGACTTACTTTTGTTCCGATTTCCCCCTCACTTCCTTTTTCACCCTGTGAAGAAAATGAAAAATGAGAAACATTCATTAATTTGAGAATAGTAATATTTAAAATCAATCAGGGTCTATGACAGGAAGTGAAAAGTATTGAATAAAACTTTAAACAATCATTATGAATGAATTGTAGCAAACATCTAAATTTTGCAGCTGCAAAATTCAAGGGAAAACTGTGCTATTTCTTCTGGGTTTTCATAATATACATTAAATCGTGTTATTTTTGATGTGACTGCACGGCTCTCGCTAGCTAAGTGGTTTCTTTTATCACCCCATAGCTGCAGGGATGTCTGCCATCCTGTGCTGGGAGAATATACCCAGAGAAAAGCCTTGAATGACAATATTCATTTAAATAAAACATTATTAGGGGGGCTCTCTAAGGAAAAGACACCTTTGGAATGTATTGAAACCCCGAGCACAAGTGAGTTTGGAAAGCAATGCCAACTCTCTATGATCTATTTTCTCACTTCTCTTGGTCTAAAATGGTGAAAGAAATGTAGTGACCTGCAGGGTCCCTGCTCTCTATCATTGCTAGGACAGAACCCGGGTGCCTGCAGACCAAGTCTGCCCGCTGCAGGCTAGCCAAGTCCCAGTCCTGGAATCACCCTTCTTGTGGTAGTAAAGGAAGGAAATGTGTCTCAGAAGCTTGAGCATCTCAGTGTAGATCAAACCTGCTTTGGTCTCACTCCATCCTAAGCTCCTGGACAGAGGCCCTATCTAGCCAATGGCCAGCTCACCGCTAGGAGCCACAGGTTCGCCCAGAATCCATCCTGCCTGGTTGTCCATGGATATCTATTTCATTTTCTCAGCCGTACATAGCCACCTGCTTTTGACTCATTTTCCTCTGGTACTTCTGCCTTGCACCAGCCACCTTCCAGGCCACTTTTGTTGACAGTCAAGTCACTTATCACTTAGCCATAGTTACCCAGATTCATGAACACCCAAGGCAGTGATCACATCTGCCTCTCCCATCCACGACCAAGCACCCAAACCCCATCTTGACAGATACTTGAGTATTAGGAATTACAGTCTATGTTTGGGGTTTTTATTTTGGTTCCTATTGATTGTGCCCGACTTTAGACAGGGCGTGTCACCTGTAGCCTCCTGTAACCCACTCCACAGCTATACAAGATCAGTATTACTATCTTCAGTTGGTACAAAGGAACATGAAAGCTTAGGACGGTTAAGCAGCCCATGTGAATGAGTCACTAGTAGAGCAGGATGGTGATTTTTATTTGACTCCAAGAGTATGTTTTTAATTAAGTGAGACGTTAATAGACATTTTAAGGGCCAGAAAATAAATTTGGATAAAAACAAAACCAAACCCACAATGATTCTCTATGTCAGCAAAGAGTAAAATATAGATTTGTTTTGCAGACTAAAGTCTTTTGTCAGATAGTTCCACAGACTGGGTTTGAATTATGTTCTGACCATAACCTATGTCTACATTGGAGACTTGCATGCTTAAGGATACATTTGAGTTTTTTTTAATGGATCCTTGTGTTGTTTCAAATTCATCACAATTGTTTAAGATGATGGACTGAGGCAGTTATCTGATGGAATGAATAGTTGTGCTTTCATGCACAATTTCATGGTGAGGCCTTTTACTCTCTGAATGCAATTGTTTGCATAAGATTAAAGAATGCCCCCCCCCACCCTCCACCCCCAGTTCAACTGGGAATACAGTCTATTTCAGCAAAGCCCCTTTACCTGATATTGGCGTTTGTGGATCGTTTCTTTCGTGGGCCCGACTACATGCTCGATGTCTGATGGGATCCCGTTGGGTCCTGGCTGTCCTACTTCACCCTGTGAATAGTTTAGCAAATAGTTTAGCATCTTTACATTGGGAAGACGCTACCAAACTTTGAAAGTACGATCCTACCACAAACTGCTTTTTTTTCTCTTTGCATATTACTTATCACATGCACACTAATTCTGTAGTGTTATATTTATAGTATAAAAAAATCATAGTTTGAAATGAAATAATCATAATATAAAATTATTTGTATCCTACTTGCATTTATAATCATTTATAATGTCTACATAAATGCTGGTTAGGTTGTTCATAATTTGGGGCTGCATTTGCTTCTGTGAAATTACTTCCTTACGACAAATTTCTATACAAGGAAATTATTAGGTCTGAGGGCTAAATGTCTTTATGGTTCTTGATATGTATCCCTCTATTGTTTTCCAAGATTGGCACCAAGATATAAGAAACACCCAAGAAATGAATGATTACTCCAGTTTCACCATCACTTCACTATGTATGGGTGCTTTTATATAATAAAAAGTAGCATCTTTAATCAATATAATATCTAAAGATTGCTTTAATTTGAATTTTTATTATTAGCAAGAATCACTCTTCTATGTGGTACACAGAGGGTGAAACCTATAGATTTGCAACATCTCTGGACAACTATTCTAACATAATATGCTGGCTTGACCTCCCAGGAACAAATGGACAAAAAAAGTAAGTTGTGTTTTCTTTTGCTATTTCCATGTATAAACTACATCTATCTCCAGTTTGAGCCCAGACATCACATATGAACAGGAACAAACCGAGATGATTTATTAGCTGCAGAAAGCATACTCCACAGTGTGTTCTGAGAGTCCGCTAATTATACCTAAACAATACTTAAACTGTTTTTTCATCCCCCTTCACCTATGGGGGCCTTGAGGTGATTTGTTTTTGTTTGTTTTTTTTTTTTTTTTTAATTAACAATTTGGATAAGCTTTTTGTAGATTACAGACCTTAACTTCATTTCCATTTCATATAATGTGACTATCCTTCCCTCTACCCAATCATTTCTTTCCAGATTTTTCCTCTTTTTATGCTATTTTACTATTTTGTTATATTTCATTGTAAAGGAATTTAACCTTTTATGTATTTAGGTCTTCTGATGTTTTTCTTTTGTAGTTTCTTGTATGGTATTTTTCTCCCTTTTTCATTTATTGTTGAAAGTATTACAGATGTCCCCCCTTTTTTCCCAGTGACCCCTCCTTCCTTCTCCCACCCCCCCTCCTGCTACCCCAGTCTCCTGCATGGTATTAACACAAAGAACAAAGTCTTGTTCACACTTGAGTAGTAAAAGTTTAATGTGCTGTTCAGTAAAAAAAAAAAAAAAGAAAATGTTCAAACGACGCCAAGTGAACACATCTGTTTTATAGGTTTGGGGGGAACCCGATGGGGGCGTGTGTTGGTGAGGGTTAGTTCATTGGGTGTGGGCTCCATGGTGAACTTTTCATATACATGATCTGAAGTGATCCTCTCAAAGGCCACGTGGTCTTTGAATCTTGGCACTGTGGGCAATAACAGTCCATGTGCTTCCCTTTCCTGCCTTTGAGCCCACCCAGAGCTGGCCATGTCACCTGGTCCCCGAGCTAGCTCCACGTTAGTCTGTGGCTGGCTCCAGTCTCCTCAGCCACCTCTGGACTCCCCATGTTAGAAGACGAATGAGGTTGTCTAAGTCCAAGGTCCAGGGCCGCCCTAGGTGGTTCACCTCTACTGTCTTATTGCTTCATAACTATCGCTGAAGTGCGTTTGGTAATGTGGCACTTTATAATAATTATTTCTTGTGCAAATGGTCTATTTGCAGATCACCTCAAAAGAAGACATAAAACATAGTCATTAAAATTTCTTTCGTAACTACTACACACTGCATGCATCTGCTTATATCTACTGTTTCCTTTACCTTTTCCCCCTTTTCTCCATAAAAACCAAGTCCTCTGTTGCCCTAAAAGATAAACGAGTTTCTGTGAGTTTTTATAAGTCAATAATTACAGTTAAATACTTATTTTTCCTAGAAAAAGAAACCTAAAAATCTACTTACAACATAACTGAACAGCAAGAATAGAAACTAATTGACACAAAGAGAAAGTTAACTCGAATAAAATAGAAACAGATTCATAGATACAGAGATCAGACTGATGGTTGCCAGAGGGGAGGGTGGTAGGGGCTGGGTGAAAAAGGTGAAGGGCCCTGGTCAGTTTGGCTCAGAAGTTAGAGCATCGGCCCGTGGACCAAAGAGTTGTGGGTTCAGTTCTGGTCAAGGGCACATACCTTGGTTGCAGTCCAGTCCCTGGCCCTGGTCGGGTCATGTGGGAGGCAACCAATCAATGTGTTTCTTTCACATCGATGGTTCTCTGTTTCTCTCTCTCTCTCTCTCTCTCTCTCTCTCTCTCTCTCTCTTTCTTTCTTTCCCCCTCCCACTCTGTCTGAAGATAAATTAAAAAATATCCTCGGGTGAGGATTAAAAAAAAAAAAAAAGAGAGAGAGACAAAGGTGAAGGGATTGAGAAGTACAAACTGGTTACAGAATAGTCATGGGGATGTAAAGTACAGCATAGAAAATATAGCCAATGATATTCTAATAACTACTGAATATAGTTAAAAGAAATTACTGTCTTTTCTTTTGCTATTTTCACGTAAACTGTGTAACAAAAGTCTGAGCCCAGATATCACATAATTTGAACAGGAGCAAACTGAGATGATGTATCAGTTGCAGAAGGTGGTACTTCACAGTGTATTCTGAGCACCCACTAAGACTGAACCTAAATAATGAAAATTCTGGGGTTCATAAAAGCGATACGCTATTCTTGTAATACAGACATGCTTTTTTTTAATTAAAAATTTTTTTTCTTTATTGATTTTACAGAGAGAGGAAGGGAGAGGGAGAAAGAGATAGAAAGATGGATGAGAGAGAACATCGATTGGCTGCCTCCTGCATGTCCTCCACTGGGGATTGGGCCCACAACCTGGGCTTGTTCCCTGACCGGGAATCGAACCAGCAAACCCTTGGTGCATGGGTCGATGCTCAACCACTGAGCCACACCGGCCGGGCAATATAGATATGCTTTTGAGAAATTTTTAATTTTATATTCTAAGCAAAACCTCAGAAATAGTGGACTAAGAGCAGTTGTTCTGTCATCCTTGGGAACGGTTTACTGTTCGCCTTTTGAAATACATTCTACTCTTCAAATATCCTGATGATCAGCAAACTGACTGTATTATTGATTCTATACCTGCTGCATGTACTTCTAACAGTCCAGGTCCATGCTCTCCCTTTAATTCTTTGCACCACAGGATGAGTTTGGATGTCACAGATGGTCCAACTGTCATATCCTTTGACCAAGGCCTCATAGCTAATGAGTGGCACAGCTTGACTCGATCCCAGGTCTTTCTGACTCTTAATTGTCCATGTGGTGTCTCTACAGATTATGACTCAAATTATTTTTGCGGGTCTGGGCCCTTCAGGTATAGAAAGCAGCCATTCCCCCTCTGGACCCCCGGGTCCCATACTTGAAGATCAGGATTCATTCTCTCTTCTGCTTCAGCTAGTTCTCATTTTGGTAAAATAATCCCAATTTCACATAAACATTTTCTACCCTTTAATGATTTTAGGGGATGGCGATTTTTGGGGTTTCATCCAACATCTTCATCTTCCTTTTAGTTTAAGAGGCAAAGCTAGACCAAGTAATTTAGCAAATATTTAACGGTTTCATGAGTAGAGTTGCCATGTATGGGAGAATTGACCCAAGCCTGGTGTCTAAAATAGGCACATATGAAAACCTATACATGCATATTTCAGAGATACTGCAGGTTCCATGCCAGACCATCACAATAAAGTCAATACCGCAATAAAGCGAGTCACATAACTTTTTTGGTTCCTCAGTGCATATAAAAATTATGTTTACACTGTACTGTAGCCTACTAAGTATGCAATAGCATTATGTCTAAAATAACAATGTACACATCGTAATTAAAAAATACTTTATAGCCCTGGCCGGTTTGGCTCAGTGGTAGAGCGTTGGCCTATGGACCAGTGAGTCCCGGGTTCGATTCAGTTGTGGTTTGTCCCCAGCCCTGATCGGGGTTGTGTGGGAGGCAACAAGTCAATGTGTCCCTCTCACATCGATGTTTCTCTCTCTCCTTTTCTCTCCCTCTTGCTCCTTCCCTTTTTATCTGAAGATAAAGAGAAAAATATCCTCACGTGAGGATTAAGAAAAACACAACTTTTTAGCTAAATGAATGCTAACCATCATCTGAGCCTCTGGAAAAAATGAAGCCAATAGACTTGCTCGACTCAGGGTTGCTACAAACCTTCAATTTGTAAAAAACATAGTATCTTCAAAGTGCAATAACATTTAGTGTAATAAAATGAGGTATGCCTGTACTACATTAGAGAAATAATATCCCTCCTTTTTTTTTTTTTTTGTTTTTTTTCCTTCCAAACCATGGCTTCTTTCCTAGAGGTCTCTATATTCCCATCTCGACGGAAGGTCATGTAGGACCCTACTGATCTTTCTCTCTGCAGTGCATCTCCCACCCCTCAAGGCCCAGAGAGTTTTCTGAAAATAAAAACAAAGCATTTAATTAATTATTGCATTCTTGCTTCTTGTCCACCTGGCTGGGAGCTGAAATCAAAGCACAGACATTCAGCCGGACTAGATTAGAATGTGATTTGCTTGGGTTCCTGTGGTCCTTCTGCCTTATGAGTTGGTTGTTCAAGGCACCAGGAAGTGACCTGGTGGGGGTGAAGGCTATTTGTGTTGCAGCCAAGTGAGGATCTGAGGTGACCTTGGGGCTGGCCGTCCCATCCTACATCCGCTTCTCTTGGCTGTGGGCCGTTCCCACCCTGTTTGGGGCTGCCAGACGGTGGGAAGCCCAGTGGTGGGGGCAGCAGCCTTAACGAGCTCCAGCCCCGGCCGGAAGCCGTGTCAGAGGTGATGGGAGCTGGGGCCTGGAGGTGCTGGCAGCTGAGGTCCCCAGAAGGTCACAGAGATGGGATTTCCGTGGAGAAGGCATAGGAATGTGCAGGCTGGGAGAGTTCCTTGGCCACGTGCAGGCCACGGAATGGTCCTTAATCGCTGGTTACAGTAGCCCAGGAGTTGACTCATGTCAAGGTTTAAAAATTTTTTAAATTGCAGTTTACATTCAATATTGTTTTGTACTAGGTGTACAACATAGACTCATGTCAAGTTTTGATCAAATACTTCCCTCACCAACTTCTTACTGTTTGTCTTGGACATTTACCCAACTTGCACAGACCGTACCGAACTCTAGTTCTGTCTCCAAGTTCTCACAAGCCACCCCCTTGTTGTGCTCCAGACCAACTTAGTGATCTTTCTCCGACAGAGACAGCATAGCTTTGGGCTCCAGCCTGAGCTGAAAATCACTGACTACATCTACCCCTAGAGGCTGACTTCACACTCTTGTGGAACCTAATTATATCCAGGTAGGAATGACATCGGTTCCCCACACTAACATGGCTATGCTTTGTCCATTCTTAAAAATTAACCCCTATGAATAAACATGATCGGTCCCTAAATCTACGTTTTTAATCCAACATTTACCAGTTTGATTTTCGTGCAACAGGAATGTTAAGTGATTTGCAAACAACAAATCACTCAACACATGACCTTATTTAATGTGCTACTCCAGAGGTACCACTGGGTTTATCCTGGGAATTTATAACAGTTAGTGTCTTAAAAGCCTACAAAATGGCTCTCATCATGAAATCAGCAATATATAGTTGTCCACTAAGTAGTCTATGGTCCAGAAAGATATCCGCAGATACGTAAGTCCTTGCTTCCCTCTCCCTCACCCCCCACCAATCAACTTACTGGCTGTCCTTTCGGTCCAGGGGGTCCAGGCGGTCCCTGCACAAATACAAGGAAATTTTTAAACCGTTTTCTTTCTCCCAGGACCCAGATAACATCTGCTAGAAAGCTCTGGGAAAGCCATTCATTGTATATTTGGAACACCATGTCGCATGTATAGAGGTTTCGGGTACATTTGTCTCAGCAGGCGGGAATGGCTCCCGGGTAGAGGGCTGGGGTCAGGCTCAGTTCCCAGAATCTGCCGGCTGTCCACACACAGCTGTTTCGGGTTTGCTTTTCTGAGTTTAGACTTTTGACTTCACCCATGTCCTACTCATGTTTGCTCTGCTCCCTCTGCAAGGCCCCAGGCAGAGACCCTTTCTCCTGGCTCCTCTGGGGTCCCCCACGGGCCATGTCTAGCACTTTTTCTGGTAGGTCAGCAGATGTTCACAGGCAGAATTAATCTACAGGCCCACACTGAAGGGTTGAAAGTCCACCCACCATGTGTCTGTTTGCAAAGCATTCAGCATCAACACTACACTTCCGATGAAGTTTTAAAAGCGCATGAAATGAATAATTTGTGTCTAAGTACAAAGAAGTTGAAAGACGGGGAATTGTGGGTGATTTCAATGACTATATGAAGAACTTAAAGTTGTCAGATCAGCTAAGGATCCAGCCAGTACAATCTGTTGTTTCATATATCCCTGAAGTATGTGTTTAATGTGTAAGCTCTGCCCCAAACCATTTGGTATGTGTGCTGAGTCAACAACCATATGCAATAGGAGAGCAAAGAACCCCTCATCATACAATTCTTGTTTCATTCCATTTGGCCAGGTCTCTTACAGTAGAGGGCCACTTACATAAACGACTTCCATAGCACCAGGGGAACTTATTTTGTAGGAAAAAAATCAATTATTATTATTATTATCTATAGTCTGAAGAAAATTTATGAGTCCTCACACCCCCAACTATTAGTACGATCAAATCTTCCCAGCCATACGTGTCTCCATTGTGTCACAAGATCTGTCAAGAAACTGATTACCACAGCCTCCTTTGAGAGTGTCCCTCAATCTTGAGCAATGGGTTTCTGTGAGAAGGTCTTTCTCTCCTGTTGCCAAAAATCTCTCCTGTTGGAATTTAGGGTTTATTTGTCTCTCTACTAAAAATTGTGGGAATGAGAGTCGGAAACCTTGAAGGAGCCAGTTTATCTCCTGGGTTCCTTGCGTAGTGGTGGAAGTAGCCTTCGGGCTGCACGGGCACTAGCAACTCTCCTTTCTCCTCCTCTCCCTTCCTAGCACCAAGCCCTCCTTCATCCAAGTATTTGTCTTGTTGCACCTCGTTCTTATCATTTCAGTTGCAGGGGTAGTGAACGCCTATAGACTGCCATGCAGGTGGGGCACTAGGGCCATTTTATTAATTGATGCCCAATATTTCACTTGCTATAATGACCATATCCAGGTGCCCTACACCTGCTATAATGACTATGCCCAGGTGTGATACACCTGCTACGGTGGCCATGCCCAGGCACGACACACCTGCTACGGTGGCCAGGCCTAGGCAGAACCCAGTTCCTTCTTATCATGCTGTTGGACTTTGGTCTGCTCTGCCCGGGGATGACAGGCCCCTTTTCAGGTGGTTAGGTGTGGGGCTGAGCGAGCCTGTGCATGTCTGCAATAGCACCCAGCCAGCAGCAAGTTTACATTCGACACAGTTGGCAGTGATCTGGAGGTCACAAATTTTGAGTCTTCATTCTTCAATCGTAATAGAAGCAAAATGTGTGCAAGGGATGACCTGTTTTGTCTTGATGTTTTTTACAGTGACCACAAGCACCATAGTTGTATCGTGAAACTTTCGTCTGTATCAACAGTTGAAGAAGCTGCCTCTCTAGAGGATGCCCTGGCAGTGGTCCAAGAGTGAGCGCATGCATGTGGTACTTACTGGTCTTCCTGGAGCTCCAACTGGACCCATTGGTCCCACAGGCCCAGGGCGGCCGGGAGGCCCCTAAGAACAGGCAAAAGAAGGCTAGTAAGAGAGGTTGACAAATATTTGGAGTCCTGAATTCTTAAAGTTTTCTTGGAATAGTCTCTAATAAAAACAAAACTTTACCTGGAAACCACCCTGTCCAGGGTCTCCCGGTTCACCCTAAATGAGAAGAAATAATTTTAAGAGTTCTAGTTTTTAAGCTATTCTTTAGATTTGTTACATTTTATTACAATACTGCAAACAAGTATATAAGTTGTCTCAGCCCTCACAGGACTTGGTGATGTTAATTAACCTAATATCTGGGGTCTTGTAAATATGGAAGAGGGATGCACCCACAATTAAATGTAAGATTGAAAAACATCCTGAAAGAAAAGGAAATAAATCACAATTTCGGATTATTTTATTCTATGCATTCCTCTATTCTACTCATTCTCACATTTCAGAGTTCACTTGGAAATTAATTTTATTAACCAGAAATTTACACTAGATCACTTAGTCAGGTCTGCCATGTCTAGCAAACTTACCCTGTACCTGTCGCGGTCCTCTCTAGACAGCGCATAAGGTTCACCTTTCTGCCCTTTGGGTCCTAGGGGCCCCTACAGTAGTACACATATGGTAGGAAGAGAAAAAGGCAAAAAAGTCTATTAACATTCAGAGCAGCTATAGTAATTTGGATGCTTTAATATTGACTTTTATGGGCAATGTCTAATTGCTCTCACAGCTTACTTAGATTATCCTGAACACCTATCACTCCATTCAACCACAAAGATAAGACTTTTACTTTCGTATTTACCCAGTAGTATCTTTCTTCAAAGTTAAAATGGAAAAACTTTATAGGATTTGAATTTTTCAAAAACCCAAATGAACACTCAGTAAACCGACCCTGTAGTAAACCACCATGTTACATTTTTGTAATATTTTATAATATTATTTTGTGTTTTCTTTGGATTAATGTACTGGAAATATTAACATGTATTCTGAAGTATCATTTGTGGGACAGATACTGAGTTATTCTTTAAAACTGAAATTGTGTCAAGTATACAAGAACATGCATACATGTCTTAGTAACTACATATAAAAGCAACATTTTAAAGTAGTGAATATATTTGTTGATAATAAAAGTAATTTTTTAAGAATAGACTGGAAAATGATGTAGCTTATTGAAAAGCTGAACCAAGTAAAAAGAGTCAAAGAAACCAGAATCGAAAGGCAGAATGTTAAGTAGAATGAGAAACCGATTAGTGTCAGGGGCAAACGGGTGAAGGGTGTTTATGACTGTTCTTCCCCCACCTGAAAAAAAATTACCAAATAAAACGTTAGTATAACCCTACATTTGCAGATTTTGTAGTAAAAGGGTAGCAATACACTACCAGCAAATGTTTCAATAGTCTTTTCAAAGACCTTGAAAACTAAATGGGGCCATGAAATAGATTAATATAGGAAAGTTCTTCCATAAAAAACAACAACAACAAAAACCTCCTCTATTGTACATGCTGAAGAATATCATCGTTCTTTTAGGCCGCGAAGGATTTTAGAACCCAGTAGATGGTGACTAATCACTTTGTCAAGCTTTCAGCTTTTAAATTTTTTAGTTTTGCTATTACCCTGTTATTCCCTGTTACCTGAATCGGAGCAGGGGAGGAAAAGAAGGGACACTGGGAAGAATGCGGGAGTGGACAATATAAACCAAACCAGTTATTTTCTAGCTAACATTTAAAGAATGAATATGGAACGAAAAGTCATTTGAATACAGAAAAATCATGCCTGGACATCTGTAAGAAAACCTCCAAGAAGACAGTCATTTTTCCTCAGGGAATGAATGGCAGGTTTAGCATGTGTTTGCGGCCCCTACTGGTGAGTGAAGAGAAGGCAACACACCATCCTTACAGAGTTTCTCTAAAACAATTTCTTTCTTTTTTTTTTTTATCCTCACCTGAGGACATTTTTCCATTTTTTGTTCAGGTAGAGTGGGAGGGAGAGAGAGGAAGAGAAAGAGAGAGAGAGAAACATCAACGTGAAAGGGACACATTGAGTGGCTGCCACCTGCACAACCCAACCAGGGCTGGGGACAAACTGCAACCGAGGTACATGCCCTTAGCGGGAACCGAACCCGGGTCTCTCTGTACCGCAGGCCGACGCTCTAACCACTGAGCCAAACTGGCCAGGACTAAAACAATTTCTTGAGGGTCCTGTGCTGGGCTTTCTGGGCCCCACAAAAGAGAGCTCAGGGTACGGCATCTTCCATACTGTTCTGCCCACAAGTGCCAGCCACCCGGGTTCCAGAGCCAACCACGGGGACAGCACATGCTGTGTGCTGATACTCACAGGAGGTCCAGGGAAGCCCCCAGGGCCGGAGGGCCCCTGCTGGCCCACGTCTCCCCTTGTCCCGTTGCAGCCGTCATAGCCAGGTGGTCCTCTGGGTCCACCTTGCCCAGGATGTCCCTGGGAAAGAGAAAAGGAAGTGAGTCATTCATACCAGTGGTGTTTAGTTTTCACAACTGTGTGATACAACAGTTTTACATCTTCTCACAAGAGATGTCCCTGGCATGAATCCAAGGGAAAAGACAGCTCCAAATAGACAAAGGAATGAATGAAATATTAAGCAGACAAAGGCACATAGATGGGGTTCTGAGCAGGGGAAAGGCCTTCAAGATGAAGTTCTGTTTCTCAAGGGTTTTGGCGAGTGGAAGCTGCCTCGGCATTTCTCCTCCCTTGCCTTGTTGGGTGAATGGGAGGACTGTTTTGGCCGGGACAGGCAGGAATGGATTTAAAAATTCTAGATACAGTTCTAGAAGCAGTAATCATCTCAGGGACAACGAGGATGTCTTTATCTGTTTTGGCCAACTGGTGAGTTTGATGGACCCACATTCTAAACGGGTAGGAGGTTCACACCCACAGTGAGATTCATCAGTGGCTTAGCCGCAGGTAGAAGAACTGATGTCCTCTTTTTACGTTCTTTGGAAACACGCCTTTTTAGATTTTAAACATGAATAGAAAGCGAGTCAGGTTTCTGAATAGAAAGATGTCTGGTGGGAGAGGGGAGGCCACGTGATCAAATGTCTTTTGAGTGACTAGAGATGGTCAGGTGAAGTCTGTGGGCATCTCAATCACGTCCAGCTGGTTCTGGGAGAAACCTGGGGGCAGGGTTACTATCTGTAATTTACGCACTAGGAGACTACAGCCTGTTTTGTCATTATTTACACAAAAAATATATTCTTTCTTTTCAAATTTTTATTTTTTTAAATTTGTCTTTACTGTTGAAAATATTACAGATGTGTCCACTCCCCCATTTTCTTATCACGTACTTTAAAAAAAAAAATCTTGATTTTCTTGGTAGTAGGCTAAACATATAGTCCAGTGATTTTTTAGGCCATTAGGATGTCTTTTAGATTTACTTTGAGAAATCTGGGAAATTTCAAGGCAAATGAACAAGTCCTACACAGAGTGCCCAAACTCGGAATGACACTAAGAAATACAGTGAAAAAAGTAGAATTTTTCTTCTGTTTGCACATCTTTTTACTTGAGATGTTCAAAGTCACTGCTTCAACTTGTGCTATCAGATAAGAGATCCAACAGCCCTTCCAGTCAACCCTCGGGGGGATCGAGGAATCCTGAGAGCTTCTGGAAATCACGGTGCACAATGTCTCCAGCTGGGACACAGCCAGCTGTCCAATGGCCTTCGGAGTCAAGGTCTCTTTTTTGGGGTTTCTGAAAGCTGATCCTTCGAATCCAGCCTGAGAAAACACGCTCCGTAGGTGTTCTATGTGAGATATGTGGTATTCTAGGATGTTTTTGCTTGAAATGAACCACTGAGTTCCTTATTCTTCTGAATTATCTGCCTGCTGTTAGGTCTTTCTGATTTTTTTAGAATTAAGTCATTTGAAATTGCATAGTAATCTGATCTTGATTTGAAATTGTGCTTCAAAGAAAAATTTCAGTTATATTGAGCTAAGTGTCCATCTTCTTTTGTTCATCTGATTAGATACATTTCTGTATTATAAAACTCTCAGATTTGACTGCATATCACTGTTTGTATAGTTCTAAACTGCTAAAATTACCCAGGCCCTTCAAACACTACACTCATTAACTGCTTAGATATGGTAAGGTGACATTTTAGTTAATATGTAGTATCTGCAGAGGTCTGCAGTTAAAGAGATTATATTTAGCAGCACCAAGATTCTGTAGAACATGGTCAGCTATCTGCTTATCACAATCACTCCCCATATGATGATTACTTTCGTTATTTGTAAAATATTTGCTTCTGATATTAAATGAGTATGAAGTGGAAAAATGAATTAAAATATGATACAGATTAGTTACAATATTTTTCCATAATGACACTCCATTTAAACTCAGATTTCAACTTCCAGAAGACAAAAACTGATGAACAGCTCAAAGAGTTCAAGAAAGGAGTTTAAAAATGGGTCATTTAGTTTGAGGTCATTGGTAGAAAAATACTTTCATTATTTGTTTAACCCTTGAAATCTGAAGATTCTTCAACTGTGCGTCAAATGATGATTACTTCCAATGATTACTTTCTCAAGATTCTGACTAATGTGAATGTTATTTCCTTATTCGTTCATAGCTTCGTGTTTTGTAACTGATGCATCTGTTTGAGCGCCTCATCCAGGTGACACTTAGGGTCACTGGCCACACAGGTCTCATGTCTTGGTAATTGTGACTTCCTTTCTTTAGCTCTGATGGCTTTCTTCTACTGTTGCAAACGTCTTTTTGAATGTGGAGCTAAAAATCTGAAGGAAAAGTCTGAATTCTCTGTGACTGTACTCTCCACTCATGATCTTCCTCTGTTCTTCTGCAAGGGGGCAGCCCTCCTTGTGCAGCCTGGGGGATGGAGATCCTCTCTCCCTGTGTGTGCACATATGCATGCATGTGCATATATGTGCACACACGTGCATATGTGCACATGTGTACATGTATGAGCACGGTGATAGAAAGCATGTGTATGTAGGGCAAGGGTGCAGACATCTGTGTATATGTGTGAGGATGCTGAAGCGAGCAGATGTCCTCAAGCTTCAACAGTAGACAGATGGGGTGGGTCTGAATGTGTGATAAACACATTTATTCCTGAGAAGGAGATCTGCAGGAAGCCGGCCCTGGGAATCTGCTCATGCATCCCTGTGAAGAAGGCTGTGAGTCAGGCAGCTTTGTTTATTTTCTTATGCCACAAGAAGTAAAGTAAACTAGGTTAGAAAAACACATTTTATTGCATTTTGAGATTTTCTCATGGATAATCCATGCCTCTTCTTATCGTTTATGTGAGGTTACTACAAAGAATTTGAAAAGCTGTACAAACGTCCAGCCGGCTTCATTCCATCCACGTTCTTGTCTGTGCTACTTTATATTCAGGTTGTTCTAGGCTCCAAACACCATTTCAAGACTCGTTCTTTACTGAGAAGATCTGAGCAATGCTCTAGCTTTTTACTGCAAAACGATGTCCAGTTCTAACAAAGTATCCTCGATTCTGAGGCCAAGTCTGGAAGAACGTTTACAAAGGAAACAGTTTGTCCAACACTGGACTGGGGAGAAAAGATACACATATAGCCTCACAAGTTGTATGTTATAAATAAAAAAGGAGGTTTCACGCAAGATGTTCCTGTAAATCATACACGTATTGGTTCGCATGTGTACAATGTTTTAAAATTTTAATCTTACAAAAAACTTACGGGAATTCCATCAGCACCAGGGAATCCAGAAACACCTCTTGCTCCCTATAAAGAAGGTAAACAAACTTAATGAAGGTCAACACACCCACTGCCCTCCATAAAACCAGAGGAAATACCAAGTGTCCTGTACCACATCTCCTTTTGGTCCTGTGATCCCGGGAGCGCCTCTGTCCCCCTTGTCGCCTTTGCGGCCTTGCAGTCCTGGGAATCCTTGTAACCCTGGGGGTCCGGTGTACCCCTGGGGGCCCACTGGCCCTGGTTGACCCTGTAGAAACAACATACATTCAATTTCCACAGTTAATAGCCATGAATGAGCACTTTCAGTCCTGTTGCTTTGGAAACTACACTTTCGTTCTCAAAGAGCTATTTTCTTCAGAGAACATTGTGTGTAAACGACCACCTTCTGCCAACAGTGCTGCAAAGTGGTTTCTGGCAAAGACTGAATTCACAGAGTTTAAAGGAAAAAAATTATTAAATGTAAGAGAAAATAATCCCAAATTACTAAAGTGATGCTATTGTGAAATGATAATATTGGGCTGGAAAGAATCAACTTACTTGTTTGTTTGTTTTTTTTAAACCTCACCAGAGGATATTTTTCCATTGATTTTCAGACAGAGTGGGAAGGATGGAAGGAGGGAGAGAATGGGAGAGAGAAACATTGAGTGAGAGAGACACATTGATTGGTTGCCTCCCGCACAACCCCAACCGGGGTCGGGGATAGAATAGCAACCAAGGTACATGCCTTTGACTGGAATTGAACCCTCAACGCTTTGGTTCGTGGGCTGATGCTCCAACCGCTGAACCAAACCGGCCAGGGTCAACTTACTTGGTTTTTAAAAAAGTCCTTTCAGTATATAAAAAATGTTCCCAAAACAAATTTCTAAGATTTTTAATGCATACAATGGACATGGGATGATACTCAAAAAGAACTGAGAGGAGAAACTTAAACAGGGATTTCTGGACCCATGTTCCCTGGAGCATTTTTCACAATGGCCAAACATGTCCCCTGACAGATGAATGCATAAACAAAGTGGGGTCTAGCCACAGATGGAATATTATTCACCTTAAGGGAATTCTGACATGTTACAGCATGAATGCACCCTGAGGACATTATGCTAAGTGAAACCAGCCAGTCACAAAAGGACAAACACTGTGATTCCACTCATATGAGGTCCCTAGAGCCGTCAAATCCATAGAGACAGGAAGGGGAATGGGGAGAGGAGGTGGGAGTCAGTGTTTAGTGTCCACAGAGTTTCCATTGGGAAGATGAGACAGAGCTGCAGATGGAAAGCGTGAAGTTTGCACAGCAATGTGAATGTACGTACTGCTACCAAACTGTAGAACATGGTTAAGGTGGTAAAGTATATGTATGTTTTACCATAATAGAAGTAAAAAGATTAAAGAGGGGGCTCTATCTCTCTCATTGATGGAACTAATTTATGTATTACAGTTATGTTCTAGTGAACCTCCCAGGTTAGCCTAAATTTTAAAGAAAGCTCTGTGTCTCAATTGCTCTTTAAATGAATGAGTCTACTGTTTATTCAACACATAGAACCTTTACCTGCCAAGCCCTATCTGCTTTCACCTTTCAGATTCCTATCTTACCTTTAGATGGAGGGGAGAGTGGGCCATTACTTCTAGTCTTCTCTTCCATTGCCTGTAAGTAACTCTTCCGGTACAAACTGTCATCTACAAAGTTTGCCAGTCATTCCAGAATGCTTATAATCTGTCTGCAACATTCCACACAATGGAGGTGAAGCAAACAATGTCAACTCAGCTGCAGTATGAACGCCACAGACCGGGCTCATGCTAGTTGAGTCCTAGTCAGGAGCTCAGTATGCTCTGTTTATTGTAAGTTTGGGGACAAAATATGCTTTGACTTTGACTTTTATGACTCTTTCCCAGTTGTGCTCATTTTTGTTTTGTTTGTGGCTCTGCTAGAATATAGCTTTCTTGTGATCATATACCAGGCCCCAAGCCTTAAGTTCCCTAATCATCATGAGGCTTGTCAGTGTTTACAGGGAGCGTCCTTTGGGGGATAAAATGTTCCTCATTTGTACTGTCATTTTTTCTATCCATAAACTATATCTCTATCCAGGGGATTACTGTATGGACCCAACTCAGGGGACCATCCACTCCTCATTCAAATGGAATGTGTCTTACTGATGAAAAGCCACATTCTCGTCTTGTACTCATTAACCTTTCCTCAATTCTCTTTGATGGGGAAAATGACTAAGAACATCACATACTCATTTTCCTTCCATTGTTAGTAAACTTCTTTTTAACCATGAAGTCTTGGATCGGAAGTCTGACTTTTGGGATAAAACTCCAGTCTTTTCCTTTATTGGAGCAAGCTGTCAGTTCTTTCTTTTTATTGAGGTGAAATCACTGTAACATAAAACTAACCATTTTAAAGTGGCTTCTAGTACATTCGCATTGTCCTCCACCTAGTTCCAAAACATCTTCATCATTCCAGAAGGAAACCTCATACCCACTGAGCAGTCACTTCCGTTCCTTCCCACCCAGTTTCTGACAATCACCGATCTGCTTCTGGTTCCTATGGATTTATCCATTCTTGATATTTCATGTAAATGAAAAAATATGTATGATATGTGGCCTTTTTTTGTCTGGCTTCTTTCACTTATACTATTTTTTGAGGTTTATCCATGTGTGATCATGTATCAGCACTTCATTCATTTTTATGGCTGACTAATATTCCACTGTATGAGTAGACCACAATTTGTTTGAAATAGTGCTACGAACATGCATGTACAAGTATCTGTTTGAGTACTTTAAAAAAAAAAATTTTTTTTCCTTATTGATTTTAGAGAGAGAGAGAAAGAGAGAAGGGGAGAGAGACAGAAAAATCGATGAGAGAGAACATCAACTGGCTGCCTCCTGCATGCCCCGCACTGGGGACTGGGCCCACAGCCCGGACATTTGCCTGGCTGGGAATCAAATCAGCGACTTCTTGGTGCATGGGTCAGTGCTCAACCACTGAGCCACACTGACCTGGCTGAGTGCTTATTTTTAATTCTTTTGGATACTTATCCAGAAGCAGAATTGTTGACTCCTATGGCAATCCTATGCTTATCTTTTTGAGAATCTGCCATACTGTTTTTCACAGTGGCCACACCATTTCACTTTCCTACCAAGAGTGTGTGAGAATGCCAAATTTGTCCACATCCCTGCTGACAATTGTTATTTTCCATTAAAAAAAACAACCATAGCCATCTTAGTGGGTGTGAAGTTGGCGTCATTCAAAAGAGTCATCTTGAGCTTTTGACAGATGGAACATTTTACAAAATTCCATCCAGCTTCCGCCCTGGGGAAGGGCCAGGAAGAGTCTGGAGAGACTCTGAATTAGAGCCCCGTCCTCTGGGACGACACTCGGTCTTGCCCCCAGTTCAAGCCCTGCTTGCTGGGACTAGATGAACATTTTTGTCGCGATCCTATGACCTTCAGATTCTTGTCTCTGGGACTGAGGTTTCTCCCTAGGATGTTCCACCCACGCTGCTGTCTCGCATGTTCGTCAAAAGCAGTTGGAATGATCAGGTAAATAAAAAGGATTTCCCTCTGTGCTAACTAATCATCATCATTATCAACTTCCATTCTCAGCTGAAAAGTCCCAAATGGAAAAGTTATTTCCATCTCTTCCTTTCCTTTTGTAATAAGTGATGTTAAAAATAACCCCAGAAACAATAGGACTCTATTTAAATGTTTTTGCATAAATCTCAAAAACTCCTAAAATTCCTGAAATATACTTAATAAAAGAATTTTTATAAACTATTTCTTAAAAGCCAACAAACTATATACCAGGCCCCACCCCAAGAGAATTTGGTTTGTATAGATGTATTACTTCCTAGAAAAAAGGATAATGAAAACTATCCTTTACTTGTGTATTCTCTGGGATGAAGCATGGTTACACGTCTTAAAAATGGTTTATCTCATTTTATCCCCATGACAATGCATAAAGTGGGCGTCTCCCCCGCGTGTGAGAGGAGAGACAAGGGCTCAGAAAGGTTCGGTAGGAAGAACTGACTGTTAGGCAGTTAGGTCTCGGGAGTGGGGCTCCCTTCTTGCTCAAGGGAGGTTCGTGAGCTGCTTCAACCACCTGGGAGCTAGTGAGAAACACCGTCTCGGCCGGCCCAGGCTCCTGACCTGCACTGGACATGATCCTCAGGAGCTTCCTTAGTACAGTGATGTTTGAGAATCACGGCATGACCCCACCCTCCTTCCCTTTCTGACATTCTGGTGGAAGGAGACAGGAATCTTTTATTATTATTTTTCTTTTTATTGAATTTATTGGGGTGACACTGCTTAACAAAATTATACTGGTTTCAGGTGCACAGTTCTACAACACGTCATCTGTACACTGTATTGTGTGTTCATCACTCCAAGTCAAGTCTCCATCCATGACCATTTACTCCCCGTACCCTCCTCCACCTACACCCACCCGCCAGGCATCTTTTAATAGGAAAAATCTCTTACGCATGAAGTTGGATCTCAGAAGGAAGGTCAGGCTTACTGAGTCAGACAGAGGAAAATCTAATATTTATGTCTGTTAAATGCTATTTCTAATTAAATTTTTCTTCATCTTATACTTCAGTGATATCTGTAGCAAGATAATGAACTTGGATCACTGTGAGGATGGAAGGTTGCACGATGCCTCTCCCCTTTGGAAATCACTACTGAAGTAAGTGTGGGATGTCCGGGGTCAGTTTTGAGACCCAAAGTCTGAAACGCAGATAGAATGAGTCCAGACTTGACTACACATTGCTTAAATACCATGACTGTGGAGTGAACGCACTTAAAGTCCTGAGACACTTACTAAGCTTTCGTGAATTTGAAATGTTCACTTCCGTAAAAGGGGCAAAATATAAGCGGATATGTGCACATTCAAAATAACTCTACAACTTCAGGCTCAAAAGTAAAGGCAGAAGATTAGTGATTAATCAGGGCCTCAAGAAATTTCACATCCGTGCAACCCAAGGGGGTGCCTCTTTGCATTCAGTATAGTAACCTCAAAACTCGCCTTGGGTAAGGAAGTCAGAAGAGCTTCACGTATTAGGAAAGGATAAACAGAGATGTTTCCAAGGATAAAACCCACTTCACTGCACAACAGGGTTTTTAATCTACAGTACAGTATTTTCCTGGTAGAAGAATAAACTTTTCATGAGTTACTGGCCAACATCTGAATACTAGGATATCCCTTCTCCTTCCTAAGTTTACTCTTCCTGTCTTGCCTTTTATGGGTACTGGGCG